TGTACAGGAATGAGACAATACAAACATCAGATATACAGGAATGAGACAAGACTTGACCATGGCTACCGTGGCATAATGAATGCATAAGTCACCGTGGCTTCCTAACGGTATTTACAAACATAACCTGGCACTAGAGGTCAGCCTTGGTAGATCTGAACACAAGACTTTTTCTATGTGAGAGTCCAACTGACTTCCCATTGCCTAATGCCTGGGACCTGGAAAAGATTCCACTATACGTACACGTATCAATGAAGTAACAAGTACAGATGTTACACAGTTACTTACATCACGGAATCCATGCTTACGAAGGATCTGATGGACAACCTTGCATTCTGTGCGGACCATCTTGTAAGCCAGGTGGTATTTTTCTGTGTATGTGAAGCAAAATAACTCCATCATTTGACAGCATTTTAATTTGTTAACACAGAATGACATCTTAAAGTGTGACCATGAGTATTGTAGGTTGTTCCTAAGCTGCACGAATATCGTTGCCAACTTGGTTTTAATTAGATTAAGTGGGTCACTGTCAATATTGTGGCAGAAAGAAAGGAATAAATGTTTGGAAGGCCAGAAAAAAAAACACTTGGGGGGGGCTATACATGTAATTGCCCTCTATTAATCATTGGCAATGAAATTAATAGAATTTTTCAGCATAGCATATTTTAGATAAGTTTGACTCTAGTGGTACAATGTACATGTACCAGTAGATACAAACACCCAACTTGGTACCACTTTCAAGTAACACTTACCACCGGTAGCATAGAGTCTACGAACTTTGGTGTAGATGCACTCTGGTCTGAAAAGCATAATGGGAATGGTTTTGCGCACACCACTCCAGGCAATATTGGCTTCATCCCTGCCGTGACAACAAACACAAACGGAAATGAAAACTGAGGGGACCAAGTTTTATCATTAAAAAATTAAAATGCACGTTACGAATATTAATAGCCAAAAAAAAAAAAATTTGACAGCAGGGTACCTCAGTCTGCACCAAGAGGAGGAAACAACTACATGTACATGTACATGTAGCATGGGAAATTTTAGCACGACTCCAAAACTGTGAAAGATACCAACACACCTGTACACAGACAGAGCCATTGAAAGTATGTGAGGTCTTACAAATCTGCACCCCATTCCTGAAGTCAAGTACTGTACATTTACATGTACATGCGCATTATGTAAATGCAAGGGTAACATTTTCCACCCTGCTAGGACAAACCACTGTTGTGAAGATTGTTGTAAGGTTGGCCCACTGCACAGTTCGGCAGGTGACCCTATTTGCATATACTGCATATACATGTATTGAGGAATTTTGTTGGTCCGTAACTTTTGCAATCAGTCATGTCAGTCAAGAGGATTGTAACCATCACATCCATCATCCTTAGAGCTTCTTCGTACAAAAAGGTTAAGTGCTTTTAATCACATTCACAGGGCATTATACTTACTCTACTGACCAACAGGTACCATACAAATGGATCAATGGATCAATTTAAGGAAGAAAAGGATTTTATGACACTGCTTTCAAAGTAGGCTTTCTGCTAGTGTTGGGTGATACGCGAGTACATGTACTGTACATTTACCAACATTTTTGAGAATCAATGCCGACTCCTCCAAGAATCATGATTCCACTTGAAAACTGATTCCACTTTTAACCAGCAAACAGTAACATGGAACAGAAATGATGTGGAGTTAACGGACACAAATGCCCTGCAAAACTAGTCCCTCAGCCAAGAACAAATAATTTGTGATTACAATAAGATTTAAGTGTTTTAACTGTGGTGACCTTGACCTTTAACCTTCCAGACCTACAGTACATGTGAATGCAACAGACTTCCTGGGATCACCAACAGCAAACCACAAACAAATTTGAAATTCATACACGTATGTAAAGTAACTTTCAAACTTCAAGGATGAATCCAGACACCTCTGCTCCAAAGTTTGGAGATTCAATCTACTGTACCGGTATTGATGGCATGCAGGTACCCGTATGTACATGTATCATAATCACTACCAAGAATCAATCTACGAGCACGTTTTTTAACGAATTCAATTAACCCAATTTGATCCTTTGTAATTGAAGAATGCCTTACTGGACAGCAATGCTCTAAATTGCGTTTGATATAAGAACTATCAATGGCAACCCTGTGAGGAATAGGTATCTTTGCCGTTTTCAAGATACAGGCACGCAACATAAAATAACCACCAAAACGATGCAACCGTGGAGCGAGTTTGTCATGACTACTGTACATGTACAATGTACATGTATGTATGTCTACAATGGCTCCATGGCTGTGAGATTTTCATCAACTCAGTCTGGATAACTCAAATTTTTTATTCATTGCCTTGAATTTCAAGTTATCAAGGTTTTACTGTACTCAAGAAAGGCATTTCCATTTTATTGATGGTCGACAGTGGGTCCACTTACAAGCATGGAGAAAGGACACAGAAGGAGTATGCAATGCCCTGGCTATTACATCTGGCCAATTACAGCTTTCTGGCATGCCTGGTACATGTAAATGTACAATGTATGTCCATACACTGTACCTGTAGTAGAAGTGCAACAAGTGCTTGCTAAGTACCAGTACCATCTTTGACAACCATAAAACCCCATTCTACCCTGTGACTGCTGCCGCAATTTGTCACTAGTAATCCGCATGCTTAAAACTTTGTGTAGTGAAGTATAGGGAATTAAACATTCATATCTTTGTTGGTGCTTGGTACGATCTCGCATTTGCGCAGTTGCTTGTGTTAGGTCACGTGCCTTTAATGTTCATGTGCAGTTACTGCCCCTGTCAAACGCTTTCTTCTGGCGTTGTTTTCGGAATCAATAAGCAAGTTGTTTATAAGAATATGTTTTACCGGTAGTTGAATCATATTGATTATATCATTTGTACAAAAGTGTATTGTGTGAGATTTCATGATCACTCGTTGTGATTATAAAGTGCATATTATTCATTGTAATCTTAGCTTTCCAGTGGTGGTTGACATGTTGTTGGCCAGTCTTCTAAGCCAAATTCATACCAAGTCTTTGAAAACTGATGTTTTGGGGGACAAAAATAAAATTACAAACACTGTATGGATAATGGAACAGTGTATTAAAATTTGAAAAACCTTATTCACGATGGCAAAAGTTGCTAGAACATTAGGGATTTTTCTTTCTCTACCGGTCACAGCGACAAGTTAGTTAATTGCAAGCAAAACACTACAAAATATCGCTAGGATATTATTGAACCTACTTGTCCAGCTACGCTGCAGGCAGTAATCAGGCATTTTGGGAATGGTTTCTATTATTCATTTAACCGGGTGGCAATGATCATCAAACACTTTGAAGTACCAGAGTTGTAACTCCTTCTGTGTCCTTCATGGTAGAAGCCTCTGCATGTATATGTATGATTCTTTTCCGCGCATTGACCCAACCAAGCACAACACGTTAATACGTTAATCACAGAAATGAAATAACAATTCTTATATGAGTGTACATGTCCTCTGTGGAACAAATGAAGAAAATTGTGTGCGTTTACACATCATCCAGCGTCAAGTGGTTAATACATGTAAGATTGATTTGTTCTCAGTGATGACCATTTGGGAACAGCTTCACTATAAAGTCAGTCCTGACTGGTTATGATTTACAACATGAGATTAAACTTAAATCAGCTTATGAATTTTCTGTGAAACATGTTCAGCTATCTAATGGGAAACCGGACGTTGGTTTAACGACATTCTCGCTCTACTTACTCTGTACCATCTTCATCCTCGTCTTCTTCCTCATCGCTCCCGACATCAGACAACTGATCCGTGGCATCAGTGGTCCTGGTGTCTGCGTCTGAGGAGTTGCCACTATCTGTGTCCGAGTCATTGATGGCCCCCGTGTCACTGCTCCCACAGGAATCGTCCGAATCGTAGTCGTCGTCAGTCACGCTTGAGGCCATGGTCAAAGACTAGGGGTAAATGCTAACAGAGAAATTTGGGATTGGAAATTTTACAGGCTTCTTGAAATTATTAAGAACAAACCTCATCAAAAAGGCTACTGCATGCGCAGTGAAATGTTACAGGTATATGTCAAATGTCTCAAATAACTCAGAAAGTTAAAATAGACGTGTCCTAAAGTTTAGTGGTACAATTTTGGAAATTTGGATTTGCAAATTTCAAAAGTTTATTTCAAGTTTGAGTTATTTTGTCTGATTGTCATCATACAACACCAGTAACAGTTACTAAATGCCACAATGTTGCACTTACAATTTCTTAGAAAAATTAATATAACCACATTAACTCAAACTGGGGATTAAGTCTAAGGATAATTTCAATTTCAAGTTCCACCTGGACTTAAAGTCGATCTGAGCTTCCGTCTTGACTTCAAACTAGACTTCCAGTTCTATTTGGATCTAGATTTTGAGCTCAATTTTATAACCAAAATTATCCACAACATGAATCACCATTTTGAGTTAAATTGCTTGGTTCCATTTACTTTACTTCAAAATTGTAAGTGGAGCATACATGTACATGTACGTGTACCAGTAGCATTGAATTCTACTCTTAGGGAATTTACCCCTTGTAGTGTACATACTGACATTTCAATTTGGAAACAATTTTCCAATCCAGAGAGAACACATTCAAGTCAAAATTAATAATATGATTTCAGTATCCCCATTATTGCCCTTACACTCCCACAAAGTAATGACATCATCGAAAGTTACAATACAACAGCTCCCTTTGCTTGCAATATGCTGATTTTTATCCCAGCCTCCCTAACTCCACAACCTATTTGGAGTCTGGAAAAAAAAAGGGGGCCAAGGTGCAAAGCAAAGCTGTCTAGATGATCAGACAGTAAAAAAAGGCAATCGTGGCCACAACCCAATCCATGTACACGTACTGCAGCAACTAAAGAGGGTTTTCCAAATTTATACTCAAGCCCACCATTTTGGACAAATCACAAACGTGGACTCAAAACAACTTTTCAACAATTCACAGATGATTCCAAGTTTCTGTATCATTCAAACATTTTGTTCGAGAACTTCTGCAGTTGGTCGGACAAATGTTCGATGTCTTATCATAATTTCACAATCTACTCAGGATTTCTGAAGTAGGAGCTTTATTAAGAAATAGCTTCTTAAAGTGTCTTTAAAACCATGAATGTTTCTACAAGAGTTTACATACGTGCCGTAGGATCGACCAAAAACTTAAAAGGCATGCCACGTAGAGTGAAGGACTGCTAGTGCAGATCCACTGATCGCACCCTGTGGCATTTGTGTACATTCGGCCCTCCGAAATACCGCAACTGGTGAAGGTATTTTGGCCTACACACAACTTCAAAAAGAAGTCAACCTACTCCATCATTTTTCTCTTGTTTGTCCGTCTCTGTAGATTAACATGAAAATCCAACTAACTGAAACACACTATGAACACGCTAAGATCAACTAACAAGTAGAAAAAAAATACTTACTGCGTTTAAACTGTAAATACGATCAAAAAGCTAGATCCCTCGTCACATTCTTATGTTCACTCCGTTGAATCGTTGTCAGGACAATTTTAACGCTGTGGGCATGCGCACAAGCTTGATCATCCAAACTAAGCGGGCGCCATTAACTTGAACCTATCGACTGGGCCAGGGCGCGACGTTTGATTTAATTTGTGAATTAATGTGCTGAGTTTATACGGTTTCCCGATCCCCTGTCTGTCTGTCTGTCTGTCTCTCGGAAAAGCATTCCAAACTCTCTCTAATGTTACTAAAGTAATGAGCTCGAATGAAAAATATAAGTAACAATTTTTGCCCCGCCTACCTCCTTGGGAAAAAGCACTAGCTAAAGAGACCACTCCGAATAAAGCTGATAAAATCGCCGGACATTCACGTGAAAGCAGAAGACTGCCAAGGCTGAAAAAGTAATCAGACAATACTGTCAATAAGTATTAAACAGTAAGATAATACGTGTCATAAACGTAAGATTGTCTCTTTTGAGGGTAGAGTTTCGTTTGCAAACATTTTTTTCACAAGCTATTCACAAGGGGATGCAATTGTCCTGTACAAAAAATCCAGGAATTTTTCCTGAGGATAGGACCCCTAGACTCAGGTTTGTGTCCGATTGTTTTTCACACAGGTGGACGCACAGGTAATGCATTGCATTGAAAATTGCATATGATGGCAAGAAGAGATGTTTAGGCAAGCCTCCAACTTGTCAGGCACCTGTTGAAAAATCTCGACTTTCCATCGCCCACTGTAATAGCCTATGGAATTCCATTGTGTTTATCCCTGCCTCCAGCACCTGCAAGAAGTATCACAGAAACATTTTACTCCACTACCCTTACCAAAATCAGTTGGGAATAGAAAAATCTTGGAAATAACTATCCAGTTGCGATCAGAATGTTTTAAAATGCTTGGCACAACCTTCGATTGTAAGACATTCATCGGAAAGCTTGGTTTTTTTTTCTCGTCAGTCTCTTTTCACATCGTATGTCAATGTACAGTTAGCCTACATAATTTATTTATTGCATGTATTTATCATAATGTCCATGATATCTCAACTATTGTCGTTAATGTCGATGTAAGCACGAATGAATGAATAAAAAAAGGCTTCATGCGACACGGGAAAAGTTCCTGTGTTGGATGTTCTTTGCACTCTAATATGGTAACTGATTATTCCACTGAGTAGAGTATGAGCACTCCTCTCTTAAAAGTGGGAATGAACGGGGAGCTTGCGACTCAGATTCGTGACTGATGGAAATCCTGTCTATGATCGGTCCTGATTATAACCCGAAGGGTCGCAAATATTAATGAGTTCTCACGTAGAAATCTACCGAATGCCCAATGGAAAAGGGTGTAAAAAGTAAGTTATTTTTGTCCTTAATTTTGAAAATTCTTTTCCTTTTTTGCGGGTTAACTGATTACATTTTTAACTATTCACCCAAAACAAAATCACCCCTCCAAAAAGTAATGGTTCCGAAGTCTGCATGCAGCCATTTTTCAACATGGTATCCTACTTGCTGCGAAGCAGCGTGCCTACTTTCTGGGAAGCAGTGTATTCAGCTTTTGGAGGGGGGTTCCAAAAGCGAATGCGTCCCCAGAGAAGTTCGGGCTCATTCAATATGTTCTGGAGAAAAAAAAATAAAAACCTTGAAATTTGATAAGAAATATACTGAATACTTTCTTTCCTTCTCACCCATTCTTTGTAAAAAAAAAAAAAAAGCGGGGGCTAGGGGTCCTTCGGACCATTTTTAACTGTATTTTTTGTCCATTCTGCTCCCAGATGGAAGCCCAATGAACCAAGGAGTTAATTCTGGCAAAGATTTACACAATCTCACCATTTGTGGGGTCTTACAATCTCCCTTTTCAAACTGTGCCGGGGCACTCTTCAAGCTGAGGATGCAGGCCAATAGGCCGAAAACTGCTTGCACGGGCCAAATCATAATTTGTATGCACTCGAATTTTCTACGAAATGGAGCATTTTGTGGCCCATGAACTTGAACATTTGTAGAAAAGACAGGTTTAGGCGGGCAAAGAGAATACCAGCTTGCGTCTGAGTGAGATTTGGAAGACTGAATCGGTGCCTGAAAACGGTCTAGTTCTTGAGAAGTGTGGGCATCGCTATGATTTCAAAATGGCGAGGGGATTCACGACTTCCGCTAGCGCTTTTAGGATTGACCTTCTGTGGAAATAAATATCTTCAAAAGTCATCGGTTAATGAATGGAAATTTTAAAAAATCATAAACTGGGCTTTAATTGTATAGTATTTTTCCTGAGTTTTTGAAGTTCGGGTATTTATCCCTGTTGGCTATGGTAGCTAGTCCACTAATTCAAGTGAGAATTCCTGGCCAGCTCATCAGCATTAAAAGTGGCCCGCAGTATCTTGAAAAAGGAGCTTGTATGGTCCCCAAATTCGTGAGATTGTGTAAATCTTTGCCAGGATCAACTCCCTGGGTCCTTGGGCTTTCATCTGATAGAAGAATGGCTAAAAAATACTGTTAAATGGCCCAAGTGCCCGAGAAAGTTGAGGGTTGTCACTTGAAAAAATGGCGGCTGCAAGCAGACTTTGGAAAAATCACTTTTTTTGGGGGGATAATTTTGTTTTGAGGGAATTACTCAAAATGTAATCGGTTAACCCACAGAAAATTGAAAAGAAAGTGAAAAATTATGGACCATACAATAATTAACGTGTGTTTCAGATGCCTCTGGGATGTTGGTACGCATATATTATTAGGCCACGAACAATGCTGATTTTTACACTGTTTTCAGTGGGGCCTGCACCAACCGTTAGCAAACTACACACAGCGCCCTCAAGACGAGAGGTCGAGGGTCATGTCTAGTCTGTCTCCGGTGTGCGGACAGCGCATTTCACAATTTTTTTCTGGAGAACTTTGTAACGTTTCTCATAAGTATAATGGCGGCACCAACGAAAGCGGCAAATTTGAAAACAGTAATTGTTGGTTCCACACGGAAGCACAGTGCGAGTGTTATTTTCCTTCACGGCTCAGGTAGGCTATGCAGCGCACGTCATCGACATCACAACAATCAACCATAATAATGTCCATGGCCTGGGCTCAGTCAGAGCATTGAGGATCATGGAGGAAAGGAGTTCGAACGCAGGGGGTTGGCGGGCCGCTCGAACTCCTTGTGTTCCTTCCTCCCTGGTCAAAGTAATCGAAAGTAACATTTACTTAGAAAACACTAATTTTTTGGGAGACATTTTTGTGCATGGCGACATCAAGCTTGTCAAGTGTTAGCCTAGCCCCAGAACTTTGGGGTGCGACGTCCATGACGTCCACTCCACTCTAAAGAACACGTGGGAGCGGGGCGGACATCAAACCCCACAGTTCTATGGGTACCCTTAGTCAAGTGTATGGAACTCTTTCCAACTGATACATGTAGGCGTACAGTAACCTTCATAATGCATGCTGTTGGACGCTGGCAGTTGTCCCCCACTTTGGTCACGGGACAGTTGCCTTACCCCAGAACTGTGGGGGTCCAACGTCCGCCCCGCTCCCATGAACACGTGGGAGCGGGACAGACGTCAGACCCCAAAGTTCTGGGGGTAACAGTTGTCCTTGCTCACTTTGGGAGGAGGGGGTGGGAAACGACCTCCTACTACCAAAACTGTGGGGCTCATGGGAGTGGGGTGGACGTTGGACCCCACAGTTCTGGGGGTATTGCCTTCGACCTTTTTCAGGTCCTATAATGGTGGTAAGGCTCAGTGGCCCAGCCTATAAGTGGCTGATATCTGACAGTTTCACAACTGGTCAACTACATACATGTACATATGTATAATGTAGACAGCGTTGTTCTTGAAATCCCAGCTTTATGAGGTTGGCCTCCCTCCCATGTTTATGAGATGTCCCTGAATTTTGCCACAAGAATGGGAATTTGGATAGCCTAGCTTCAACAGTGAGCTCCCCCCATTACTAGGGAGGGGAGGTTGGGATAAGAAGGGTGGGGTGGGGGAAACGACTGATTGATGCATCGTTGCATTCTCCAGATTCCTGCTGTATGATTCAGTCCCTTCTTGCTTCTCTTTGGTGTCATCAGGAGACACAGGTGAAGGGGTACTGGGTTGGATCAGGTCGCTGGTTCAAGATGCCTTCAGGATTCCACATGTTAAATTCATCTTCCCCTCCGCACCGGCAAGGTACCAGTATATTTGAATGAAGTACATGTATTTATTTTTGGAGGAGAGGGGTACATTTTTTTATATCACACCAGAAGAACAAAAAAGTGTTTGTTTCTCCTTTACATGAATTCCTGTCAAGAATGTGCTGAAGTTTTCTAATTGGAGGTAGACCAACATAGAATCCAAAGCTAGTAATCAACAAAGCTTTTATAGTGCAATATTTACCGGGGGATGGTTAGAACCCCCTGTACATCAATACTGGCTGCTTTGAGTGGCGTTTCATAGCCTCTCAAGATGATCCATGAAGTATTTTGTGAATGGAACGCTGCATAATTACATGTACAACTGTTTTACTACTCAAGATTATCCATAAATGCTTTATCACATCCATCTCATAACATTAACATAACATCCATAACATCAACTGAAAAAGCCTCCAATTTACATGTGAATTTTTTCTTAATATGAAATTAGGAATTTTGTCATCATGTGAAAGGTTAGGGTTTTAGAATGAGTGGAGCAGGATTTGAACCCAGTGACCTCCATAATCCTGGTCAATGAATTGAGCTTGCCAACCGCATGTTGGCCTATCTTTCATTTTGTGTTATGTCTTCTGTCCTTGACCAAAGACATTGTTAAGCTGGAAGATTGCCACTATAGGGTTGGATACATGTAGCTCAGTTTTTAGAATGCCGACTGGTGTCAATTGTGTCGTCTTTCAAAGGCTGCAATTTCACAGTTTTTGTTTTTCAACCATACACGTATATGTGGGTGTTTTGCATCCCCATAGGCCATACACGCCGGCTGGGGGTGCTCTGAGCACTGTGTGGTACGATAGAGTGCGTATTGCTCCAAACGTCCCTGAGCTTCTGGAAACCATCAATCCCCTCTGTGAGCAGTTGGGAAAGTTGATAGATGCTGAAGTTGCTGGGGGGATCCCCCAAAACCGTATCATTCTCGGTAGGTCAGATTAGTATTGAAATTTAAAAGTTACCATTTTTGTTTCAAGTTTTCCGTCATCAACTGTATAAAGACATAATGTTGAGGAATTTTAAGATGTCTTCCAGGAGGAGATAATGGGATCTTGTATCTTCCTGAGGCAGGATGCAAGGAAGATGACTACTCAAGGGAAGACCTTGTGGAAAGACATCAATCTTTTCATGAGAAGTCATGCAGAAATTCAGATTTGCACTTCAAACTTCCCAAGACTAGAGCTTTGTTCATCAAATGTCTAGCGTCAGTTAGCCTCTCCATGGAAACTGTTGGCACTGCATTGCACAATGGAATTAAGTATAGAGGTTTTGCATAGCTGCCATCTTGCAGGCCAGTGCTTTTGTTTCAAAGGGTATGCACAAAGGAGGTTTCCATGTGGAACAAAACAACTGCCCTTCAAGATGGCTACCACGCAGAGCCTCTGTAAGGGCCACAGATAACTTTGAATCAACAGGTGAATTTGACTTATTTGACTTATTTTATGCAGCTTTGAGTGCCTTTAATTTTTTGTAATTCCGGTTAGTAAACTCAGTGAAATTCTCTTTTCACATAACAGGTGGCTTTTCCATGGGTGGAGGGATGGCCATGCATTTAGCCTATCGCTTCCACCATGATGCCGCTGGTGTGTTTGCATTGTCAAGTTTTCTCAATGAGGACTCTGTTGTTTATAAAGTGAGTGTATACAGGAATTTGTCTCAATGCACTTATTTATCCCTTGAATGATGTGTCAGGAACCCCAGTCAAACACCAAGCTAGTCTTACTTGGAAACCATATACTGTGTTCATTTTTTGTATTCCATTCAGTAATTGTGCCAACGCAGTACTTGGAGGGATGTATAGTTCATGTTGCAAATCCCAAGAAAACATTAACTGGACTCCTTATCACCTGTAGACCCTATTCAGGTGGAGGCCATTTTTGATCTAATTCCTCATATCCCATGCTTCCAAGCCTCCCTTTCAATAATTTTCAGACTCTGGCAGAGTACAATTCTATGTGTTCAATAATGAATTGGAAATTAATCATCAGAGTAGACGGGTGCAAATTTGTCATTAAATTTCATTTCATTGCTTCAGTTGTACTCTCAACATTAAAAAATGAAGAGTTAACCTCGCTTCCAAATTCAATATGGCCGACCCAGTGAATAAAGTCTATTTAGTGTGATAAAGTGCCCCAAGAGTGTGATTGTGAAACGGAACTTCCATTTGTTGTTGAATGGAATTGGTTTTGTCTTTGAATGGAATATCCTCTGTGTTTTTGCGGTTTGGCTGTACTGGGCCTTGAGAAGAATAATTGAAAAGTGAATCGTAATCAACAACTCACCAATCATGTGGTAGGGATTTAGGGTTACATCGTATAAGCTCAGTCTAGAACAGTTACAGGTTAGGTGATTTTTATAAAAACATAAAGCAGTGACAGCCCTTTTGATGTAAAATTCACTGCATGCTGAGGTCGATGCACATGTGGTGCAGGCTGCCCTGAGCACATAAGGACCACTTTCTCTTGGAATACGGTCAGTTAAAGTGTGGTCTTGGTACCCAGTTTTAACATTCCTTACCAACTTTCTCTTTTTTGTTAATGAGGGGGCACTTCTACGCACAGTGGATAATTTATCACTTGTACAGTTTTAGACACTAAAATTTTTCACATGGAATCCCTCATACTTCAAAAGTACAGCCTGATACTTGATTATTTTTCAAGTCAAGGAATGTTTGAAGCTACTTAAGTGGACAGTTTCATTGCTGTGAGAAATTCCACAGGCCTCCTTCAGCATCTGTATTTTCTCTGTTTACTGAGGATGTCTTTTATGATGAACATTTTGGTTTTCTTGCAGGTCATGACTTCCAAAGCTTGCCTACCACCTCTGTTTGCCTGCCAGGGTCTAAGAGACAACTTAGTCTTGAGTGACTGGAGCAAAGAGACCGTCAGGCAGCTCTCTGATCGGGGTGCACTCTGTGAATACCACACCTTCCCCAAACTGTACCATGAGATGAACGCGCAAGAACTTCACATGCTCACAGACTGGATTAAGAAGCAGGTACCAGATGATGGAAGCTGATTCTTGACAGTATCATTACAAGGGAGCAAGGTTACCAGACGATCAGGTAACAACACTGGAATCTTTTGCACGGTTAAGTTGAACAGGAAACTGGAGTGGAAAACTATAGCTGTTTCCTGACACCAAGGGGTGCTGTTGTGATGTCACTTTTGACCCTCATCCCTGACATGTTTCAGTTCTTTAGTATAGACCTTTTTTACCCACATGAGTGGATTGCGTTAAATGTAAATAATACCACCAAGTGTGGACCGCCTTGGCCATGGTGATTGCACATATTCCTACGGGCAGCTTCAACCACGTGCAAGCTCACACACGAATGCTGCATGCTTGCCTAGTTTATCTTAAATTAGTAGATTCCCATCACAACACTATCCACTCATTACCATCACGACACATGGTGGTCCAGCATGATTGGGACACCACAGAAAAAAGTTGTTTGAACCCAGAATGTTTTCTATTGCATGAGTGTGTAGGTTGTTCCTCATTCACTGATTTCATTGACTAAATTAGCAAGAAGACGTATTGATAAGGAAAACTGACCCAACTGTCTGTATCCAGGCTGCCCGAGGTGAGATCTGCATGTGCTGAGGAATATGGATATTTGAATTAGTATAAATCTTTAAACATGAACACCCTTAGATTTAGCAGCATGAGGTATGAATTCAGAACTAGACTGGTCACAAAATTTGCATTTCAAGAATTGAAGTTATTGCAAGTTTGTCCTTGTACATGTAGCATGGAATCTGTCTCTGCAGCCACAATCAAGAATTAGCTCTTTTTTTTTCTTTGTGAATTTCTTTGAAAGGTTTAACTACGCAAGAGTGGCTTAGACAGAACGCTCTACTTACGTGTTGGTGCTCGAATCTCCCAAAACGATTGAAGTGACGTGTTGCAAATTCTTAAAATAACTGCCAAAACATACCCTCTCACCCTGACCTTTTTCTTCATGTTCATTACCCACAGACATAGCTTTTGCAGCTGTTGTGTGCATGAATCTCCACAAGAAAGAATTCTTTGATCAATCGTACACAATACATGTACTTTGGTTTGCTACGGAAGCTTATATGGCTGTCCATGTTACCACGTAGCTGAATTAATTTATTGTGGAAACAGAGAATCATACCTGGATAACACTGATTTCAAAGATAAGTTATCGTTGAAACGCTGAATTCAACAACAACGCTTTGTGGGAACGCCAATTTCAATTATATTATTTCTCTGTAATGCAGAATTCAAAGATAACATATCCTGGCAACACGGGATTCCATGATAATATTTCTTGGAAGCACGGAATTCAATTGTAATATTTTTTGGAAATACAGAATTCAATGATAATATACATGTACCTTCAAAACTTGGAATTGAATGATAATGTACCTCAGAAGCCTAGAATTCACTTTTGTTCACTGGTACATGGCGCGTCATCTTTGCAGGGTAGCCTACACAAGGTGTCATATTGGCACACTCAGGCCTACTGTCCATCATGTCTCATGTTGCACATGAGCTGAGCCATGGACTTTGATTCAGACTCAAGTTGAATGTATTGGTTGGCCGGAGGCCCTGGCAAGAAATACTTTGTCTCCAAAACTGTGGACGTTGAATTCCGAGTTTCAGGCATTATCATTTAATTCCATGTAGCCGAGATACATGTACATTATCTTTGAATTCTGCATTTCAGAGATACATTATCATAAAATTAGTGTTTCCACAATGTTTTATCATCTAGTTATTTATTGATGTAATTTTACCAGGTTAGCCCCATCAGCTATCAAAGAACTGCTGTCCTTGGGAGCCGTGCATTAACTTGTAAAAATACAGTTTGTACTTAATGAAATGGGCTCATAAACATGATACAATTTAAAAGCACGCATGACATCAAAATGTGATATAAAAAAGCAGGAATTAGCTATTGACTAATATACGAACCCACTTACGTAAACCAAATTTGATAGCGTATCCATTGAAACCAATTAAATAGAAAAAAGTTGATGAGGCAGTCAAATTGTCAATTCAATTCATTGAAATGAGTTTTTCGGGGATAAGTTGTCTTGAATTCACTGTTATCCACTATCCAGTGTATGTCTCTTTGTTCCAAGGACAAATTAACTCAGTAATGTGGTTACATGAATGGTCATTTAAGCTTCCGTAGTTTGCCCTTCAGTATTTAGCATCTGGGATAGTAGTTTATGTGGAGTGGTGCTTTCAGCCAGTGTTGGTTTAAATTAGTCAGAGTACTGTATTGGGGAGTATATGTCAGTTTTTAAAGTGAGAGTACAGTACTCAGGTGGTTGCTGTGGTTACATTTTTTTATTACTTTTGTTTTTTATGTTTTTGGTTTTATGGATATTTGGGGTTTGGGATCCAGCTTTGTGTTTAATTTTGTTTTACCATTGTATGGGGGCCCCAGCATATTATGGATCTTTTGCATATTTAAACTTTGGCCACTTCCATAGATTCCTTGTTTTCCAAATGCAGCCCAAGTTCAAACATGGTGATAACGTACAAACAGCCAGTGGGTGCCTATATTTTTGTTCCCCCTTTCCCCCATGTTTGCTTGCACTTGGCCTTCATGCTTTGTCGAGAATCCAAATATGTTTAGACAACCATCTAGTTGTCACGCCTGCATTTGTTCTTGATTTATGCTTAAGTTGCGGCAGCTTGCAGCAAAGCTTTGATTAGTGGATGCAAGTCATGCATTGGGATTTGAAGGTCTTTAATAAAGCGTGACGTTATGTTTTTCCATATCATTGTCATATGAAAGTTGACCCCCCCATGAAATGTGGTCTTTTTTAGGTCATGTTGACTTTCAGCTTCCAGTCTATGCCAGCTGTTGTTCCTTGTACAGTTAAGTCATGCGTAACAACATACAGCTTATGCCTCAGACAGCTAGCATTTCATACCTCACAGGGACGGCAAAGTATTCAAGTCCGATTGAGGATGCCTTGTTTGTGAAATTCCTGCCCATAGGGCTTTTTTCCTTTGACAAAATGAAATAGTTGCAGATAACTCGTTGGAAAAATAGTAACTAAATCTGGTAGGAAAGCCTCTGTTTTGTTATGGCCTACTTTGTTTAGGAGGCTTAACACCATGAACTTCATAGGAAAGGGAGGAGCAAGGGGAGGACCCCCCCAAAAGTTGAATCTGAAAACTGTAAAAGGGATAAAGAAGATAACAGTAGAGAAATACCCAAAATGGAGTAAAGATGACGAAACTCACCAGTTCGCTTGAAAATACCTCCAAATTCATCCTCTTTCACCATTAATGGTTTATTCTGTTTTGCTGCTGATGAGTGGTTTCCCTTGTGAACAGTTGTTCAGTTTTACCATTAGTGTTGGAAATATCACAAGATTTATTCCAATAAGATTGGTAGGAGAAGTTGGTGGTTGATACCTATACATGTACATGTAGCTAGTATATAGGCACTGATTATATTTGCTTTTCAGTGCCAAATTAATTTAAATGACACAATTATTCATTTAAAGGAAATGCCCTTTTCAATTTTCCAGCTGTGACACGTACAAGTAATGTGATCAATGCCATATAGAGGAGAGCTTAATTCAGGGTATTTTGGAACTTGAGCCTATCAAAACTGTTATAGTTGAAATGAGTTCCTTTTTACGCTTGGCCGCACCAGTGTCAGAACAGATATTGGCATGCTGTTATAAAATTCAGGTTGTATGTCCACCGAGTTCGAGAGGTTGCTTTCTCATTGTTTTGTTGTGACTCAGAGAGCCGTAACTATGGAATGACAGGACCTTTCCAAGTAATAAAGGGTCCTAAGCAATCCTACCCCCGAAGAAGGATAAATCAGTGAAGTGGGATGCAAATGACCAATTTGCTTAAAGGAAATGAGGGTGAGACGTTTACACGTTTAAAAATTTAAACGAAAAGAGTTCCAAATCCGTTTACAGATTTTCCCAAACGTTTAAACGGAACCGCGCCTTATAGATGTTTGACGTTTTTATTGACGCAATCTTGCGTTCATTTTTGTTGTAAACGATACCTGTAAAATGTATCCTAATTTTCAGAATGCTTTACTGGACGGTCATATCAAAGGGATACCATGGATTCATCACCGCAAGTCAAAGGAATACCATGGATTCATCACCGCAAGTCAAAGGAATACCATGGATTCATCACCGGAACTTTGTGTCAACTATTTACATTGTATACAATTTGTTGTGTTTCAAGTTTTCAGTGACACCGTGGTAAGGGTGGGGCGTTTACAGGTTCAAACGGTATGGGGAAGTTTTCTAAACATTTTTTAAATTTAACGTAAATTTCCCCCCTGTAAAGGAAACCCTCAAAATTAATTTAAGTTCCACTTTTTGGTTTAATGAACCCCCCCCCCCGTCTCTGGTCAGGCAACGGGCCTATTTCGACGACCAACTTCTCATGGTTACTTCCAAATAATCAGTCAGTGCTTTTGACAAGACCTGCCCCAAAAGATTTTTGAGGGGAAACCAATTTCTTGGTCAGTTAAAATGGCACATTTTTAATGTTTAAACACAGCAAAGTAATTGTGTACGTAATTACTGACGAACTTAAAGAGGCTGTTCCCCCATGTATTGGCCCATTGGATCGATAAATAAAAACACGAAGCGAATTTTAACACGTGGTTTCCACATATGTAGCTATAAGCCGATGACAGAAGAGAATGCAAGAGAAAGACAACAGAATTTTAAGGGCCAAATGAAAAAGAAAACTTAACTTGGAAGAAAAGACAGAGACCCACTACGGAACAACTGTTGACACTATTTTTAAGATTTACGGGCAATGCTTCTGGCGGATTCAGAAACGGGATTTTGGGAAGAAATCCAAACTCGCCGCATATATGCTGGCTGATGCCGAAGATACGGCAATTCCCAAAGCGCTATAATCCTACTGAATGTTGTCGAATAAAACTGTTGGTAGAAATAAAATCGTGGGTGACGACGCGTAACGAACGTTGTCTGGCCGGTCGGTTTAGAACGTTCTCGTGGCAATGCCTTTATCTCGGGGTAATATTAATTATTTGGCCCCTGTTCTCGTCTCCAACGGTTAACCATGGAGGATGCTCCAACGCGTAGTATGAATATATACAGGTACTCGTGGGGTCAAAGACGACCTGGATGGAGCGAACTGACGTCATCAACATCACATTCATTTCAGCTGAGCTGCCCTAGTGGTAGTGATTGTGATTGTGAATGAACTTGAAGTACACGTTCACGCGCATGGCTGATTTTGAAGTATGCCCATAAATTTAGCGGCATTGTCGATCTTGACGACGCGGGGGGGGGGTAGTGCACTTCCTAGACTGTTTTCGTATCGTGACGTGTGTACTCTCTCACCGCGATCTGAGCTGCACGCGATGCAGCACGGCATAAACTCATCAGAGAATCTGGATCCCGAATTACTGCTGGTGTCGTCGGATCACAGCAAGGGTACATAGATGTGCACATGACAATGTACATGTACATGTACATCATGCAATACATAAGCGGGGAATATCACTGTCAAAGTCGGCAAGGGGCGGAGCCTCGCATTATGATAAGGCAAGTTTAGGCGCGCAGGCGCGGCAGGCTGTGCACTAGCTAGTTGTACACACATGTACACGTACATGTACATATAGCAGGGACACTTGCACCGCATCGAGAAGCATTCGTTCAACGGATTTGTAACGTACCTCAAGTGTACATATATGCTGCACTTGTGCCAATTAAGTGTGATTTCTCAAGGTTGAATCGAACACGTGGGAAAAATCAAGCGAAATGGCCGGCGCATCAGAGACAGACAATTTCCACGGCAATTCTGTGGAGAACGGCCATGCCAGTCGCACCAATAAGGATTTGAGCGATCTGGACGGCGATCCTGTCGTGGCGGCTGACCTGCCGGTTAAGAGCTCAGTCGAGGAGCGGGAGCAGTGGAGCAGCAAGTTGGACTTTCTGCTCGCCTTGATCGGTTTCTCCGTGGGCCTCGGCAATGTGTGGCGGTTTCCTTATCTCTGCTTCAAAAACGGTGGAGGTAAGCAGTTGCAGTGCTGGAGGAGATGCAGAATTCCTGTACCGCAGGCATCACCAATTTCTCTGTGTTTGATATGAAAATTGAAATGTTTTGTCATTCAAGTTGCTTTCATACATTTAATTCACACAAAGCTACTTCTAATTTTAGGGTTTGTTGTGTGAGCAGTACACATGATAAAGCTCTAGGACTAACAGAGGATTTTTCTTGGGGAGGTAAAATAAGAATTGATGTACCCGGAGAAGAAAATCTGGACTTTCAGTCACTTTTTTGAATGTGAGAGCAAGCTCTGTAACTTGTGTCTTATTAAGGCTTATTAAGGCACACTGTTTGTCATGTAAATTAATAACCACATGAGCTGCATGCATGATCAGATATTTTGGGTTGATATTGCTCACTTTGTACCTCCACAATGTACATTGTACTGTATGGTGTATACAGTGGAGACCTACAACATTACAGCCATCAAACAAGTCCAACAACTCCAGGTCACTTTTCGTACTAACCACAGTACTCCTGACCTCGGGTATTCCTGTGACCAAGTGGCATAATTTTGTAGCAAAAATCCTCCTTGTGTCTCATTACACCAAACATTTTTATTTTTTTAGGGAAAATATAGAGAGGAAGGGAGAGTTTTTACTAAATACTTCTGTTGTCTGCAAAAAAGACCTAAACTCAGCAATGCAGCAATTTTTTTTCTGTCTGTTTTTTCATTTCCCAATCTTTTTTAGGGCAATGCCAATATTCGATTGATTATCAAATATTTGAATATTAATTTCCAAATTTGAATAATACTAAATTCATGAAAAGGAAGGGAACATTTTCTTTTGCTTTGTATGAGAAAATATGCACTACGGAGGCTTGTTTCAAGCAGATTTAAAATGAAAACGACAGAAATCTATTGATTGAGAAATTTTCAACTGGGCAAGAAATATTGGTCATCTCTTAAATCTTGCTTAAGCGTGGCTGGAGATACTCCTAGATGTGAAAAGCTATTATATTGATTATAATGTACAGTTGCATGCATTATTGCAACTGATTTTGTATATGGTTTGTTCATCAACAATCTGCCCATCGGTACAACCAAATATTCAGATACCCGATCGAATTGAAGGTTGAATATTTGAATAGTGAATTATTTGAATTGACTCAGCCCTAATGGCACATGGGTATAGCAAATCTGAGATTTTCAATGGTGTGCATGCAGTTTGAGTTAATATGGCCTTAAGCTATTATTGCCCAAGCCAAACACCCCCAAAGACCCCAAGGTGCCATTTGTTGGATATCTTTTATTTCCCTGGCCCTGTGCTGTCTATAGGGCCTTTCAAATTCTCATGCTTTTTTTCCCTCCTGCTTGTGTCATTGATACTCCACAAGGTCTTTTTTTTTTCTACATCACAGTTGTGTTTCTCCTACAAGTGGCTGCAAAACTATCCCTGGCTATCCCTACAAATGTAACAGAACAACTCACAAAGTATTGAAAATCCCATGCAGATAAACGTACTGGTAAATAGAAAAATGAAAATACAGCCCTCTTTAAATGAATAAGACAAATATTAATTTTGAGCCAATTGAGGCAAAATCAAAAACTAACCGAAGGTGCTATTTTGCAACCTACATGTATGGCTGCTCATTCAAAATTGTAGGCAAAATGGCAGAGGTCTGTTGCTCAGTGTTGTGATTTGTGTTTTTTTTCTGATTACAGGTGACATTTTGTAGGAAATTGATATAGCTTTATGGTTATTCATAACAAAAAAGGCTGTCCATGCTCAGCAAAATATGATTGCTGAAAAAAAAAGCATTTTAAAATGCAACTTGAGAGCTACAATAATGTCTCCTTAAAATGACCAGAGACTGTTTTATGATTATATTTAAAAAAGATGAACAAAATTAACAGAGAGCCTTAAATAAGTTGAATAAATATATTTGGCTTGTAATTGAGATAGATATGTGTACACGTGTGCAATTTGTGCGGAGTAGTTCTCATTCTACATACAGCAGCTTGTATTTTCAAAGAAATTGGTGATGAGGCATTTCACGCAATATTGCCTCCCTCAGCAAACTGGCAGGAGTCAGTCTCCTCTGCAGTGGGTGATTGGGGATGATGGAGCAGATGAGAAGAACAAAGGGAGGGATACAATAAAGGATACCTAGGCAACTGTCTCCACAGTCCAAACCACAAGGTTAATTGCCTCCACAGACTGCCATCAGTCTTGATGTGCCTACTGGCAACAAAAGGTACATGTACAAGGCATGCAAAGTCTAGTAACGGCAAGCTACAGTGCACACCGAAACCCAACACTGCACGTACACACGAGAGCTACTGCCTTCCTGAGGACAACACACATGCTCCAGGTGCAGTTCAGCTGAACATCTTTAGAGCTACTAGTGTACATCCAATCCATGCCGCCCTGCAACTGTCATGTGCAACAAGAGTGGACATTTGCACATCGACTGGTTTTTAATGACAGTGCGCAACGTGTTGGATAATAACAGCAGAGAGAGAAGGATTGGGGAGCAAGAGCCTCGGCCCGCATTTAGCCCCCCCCCTTTTTTTGCTCAGCAGAGGCAAATGTAGTTCAGAAATAGTTGCAACTCTAACACTTTCTAATGGTCAGATTATACCTCTGTCAAAAATGTCATGCCGAGATTTATAGATTTGATGCAACTAAGAATTACAGTTAAAGATTTGGAGGATGGCTAAAATCGCCCATTTTAAAAAATCAATTATAATGTAGCTCTAACGGGAATCTGCTGAAATTTTGACAACATGCAAGATGGGACATAAACGTATTCATCTAAGTTGTGACATTGATTTTAAATAGATGTCCTGGTGTAGTGGCATAATAATTTTACGAATAAAACAACCAGTGGAAAAGTATCGACTTTTGTGTGTGCATGTTTTTTCTGTCTTTTAATATTGATATCACATCTGTAGTCACTCATGGCACCGTCACGGTCCAAAAGAAGACTACGACAAAGGGTTTATAATATTGCAGTAAACATCTTTGCTGAGAAAACAAGTGGCAGTCGAGTTTCCATTTGACAGGCTGCCCAGAATGTCCAAGATAATCACGTGCAAGTAAATGCAGCAAGCTCATGTGTTGGATGCCAGCTCTCGGTGGAAGTGCTCTCAGGACAGACGGTGCAGGCCAAATACGAGCTCCCTACTGCAGGATACTGGCAGTGTGGTATGGAAGTAGGACTGAGGCTCACTGCCAGGTGATCGAGGAAGAACAGGAAGTTAGATAAGCCTCACTGGCAGGGATCTCCCGTCACTTTCAGAAATGGCTAACACCCGATGAAAGAAGAACGTCACTGCAGTTTCATACAGCAAGTGTGTTTTGATTTTGTCGCAATGTTGCTGAGATCCGTGTACCTTTGCAGATGAAGCCCTCAAGTTCAGCATGCTGTACTGAGTTTCCAGCTGTTGCAAATACCTTGGGAGTCAGGTTGCTTGGTCCACCTGTGGATTTGGTTTGCAGTCCCTACCTGAACCCATGAGTTTAAATATCCAAAACATTCTTCTAGGGTTTTCCTCCCAGTCCCATCACTAAAACTGTAACTTCTACTTCTTGTCTCCTCTCAACAGGTTTCTTTAGGCTTGTGAGCTACAGTATCAAGGGCACTTTTAGGAATCCTTGGTTTCATTACCAAATAGATTTAATAATATCTGACACCCCCCTTAAAATTGTTAGCACTCAGTTGTAATATATTCTTTTCTTTTTTAATTTTTTTTTACATTACTAGAAATCTTTGTTTCCATATTCTGAAATAAACTTTTCTGAGAACAAAAGCACATTTGTCAGTTGCCTGTAAAAATGAAATATACCCGTTGGTTTTGTGTGTAACAATTGCTTCTAGAATAACTTCTTGATTTCTATATCGTGCAACCCCCCCCCCGGAATTAGTTGAGAAATTGCACAGCTGGCGCATGCTTTGCACCTGGCTCTAGTTCCTTACATGGTAATCATGGTTTCCACAGGTGCTTTGACTCGTGCGAAATGAGTTACCCTTTTCCAGTAAAACGTGTTAACTATCATCCCGGATTACATGTACATGTAAATGGTTGTGCCATTGAAAATAGGATAATGAATTCAAACCAGTGGATGGGCTGCATCCCAGAGACAGGTGCGCAATTCCATCATTACAGATGTTTGTATGCAACTTGCAAGTTGTAATTGATAAACAAATTAACTTGTGGTAGAAAAAAACAGTATATTTGCATTTATACTTTTAGCCTATATTTAAGAGTTAAACATATTAAAGAAACTTAGTTTTAGCTTCACTAATTAATTAAATTAGCCTGTTTTCCTGTATAGTTTCACTAGTTGTGAAAATCTGCAAAAAGGGTCCGGTATAAAGATTGAAAGATCGTCCAACACACACAAATAGCTACGATGCATGTTGCTTGCTAAAGGATGACAACCTGAAAGCCAATGCAAACAAAACTCCAAAATTCTAATCTCCTCTCTATACGTGTAAATATTTATCTCTTTGGTTTAACTTCTCAAAGTTTTCTGACTGCAAACATTGCTGGTATAGTTTGATTGGCTTAGGTTCCTATAGTGTCAATCTATTTTGAGACTCGATCAAAGTTGAACATCCATTTCTTGTATGGCTGATAAACGATTTGCGTGTTCATAAAAACAATATTTATATAATCAATTTTTTTTTAGGCATCAAAGAAAACATCTGTCATTTACAGATCAATAAAGAAAATATCTGAAAGATTGGACTGAGTTCGTATGCCTCTCATTAATCCTGAGTTAAAAAACTGAAAATAATGCCCCCCTTCCCAATTAATGGTACCACTCACACATGTACATGTATGAGTGTTAACAAAGTTACATTGTACTTAAATCCGTTCCACTTAAATCTTCAGCATTTTTAGTAAAGAATATCAATTATTTTCCGCATGTTTTTCTGAATCCAAATATTTCAGATTAGAAAATATGCAAATTCATACATGTCATTTGAACGGAATGCAATGTTATTTTTTTGGATTATCTGTCGATAGTTTATATTTGAAAGTTTAGTTTTTGGTTTGAAGTTTGTATTGTTGCTTTTTCTTTTATACACCACTTTCAATTTGCCTACAACTTTTATGCAATTGCAGAAATATCACCTTTTGTTTGGTTTTGAATTTTCCTCAGATTCGTTCAAAATGGACATTTGTCCTATTAACTTTTAAATAGGGTTATATTTTCATTTATTATTTAGTAGCACGTGTATTATAATCAGTGCTGGAGGACTCAAGTGTGGACTTGGACTCAAGTCCCTACTTTCAATGACTCAGACTCGAACAATGAGGACTCAAATATCTCAAGGACTCAGCCTGAGTCCAGCAAGGGATTTGTTACATGTTGTGAATAACTCTTTAACTTGTGTACCAATGGCCAAGTATAGCTTTAGCAGCCACTTGTAGGAAGAGCATGACTGTAACATCAAAAGAGCAGGCCTTGGAGACCTCCTGTGATTTTGACTGAAAAATCCCTTCATAAAATCTATTTACTTGTGTAGAGTGCTTGAGATGGAGGATTAAGGGTGATTATGGTAACTGTGTGTTGCAATACATGTACATGTAGTTATGACTCCACTTTCGCTTTTAGCCGTGGAACGGAAATTGTCTAAAAGAATTTTTTCTCTTTATTTACTTAAGTTTCTCATTTAGTGTTTGAATCATCATTGTTTCACAAACCTTGTATATTTTTTGCATCTTTAATCAAAGGTTGCAATTGTTTTCTGCATACTAGGATTGCATCAGCTGCTAATAAACCTGTCCTTTTCTTGTGACAGTTCAAGAGAGCTTAGTGTATATGATTTCTTATATTATCTGTGACAAAGGGGTGGTAAAAAGCACATGTAAGGACAAAGATTTTTTTGAAGCAGAGCCCCAAACTTTCTTAACTCAGAAAGTGTATGCTTACAGGGCATAACACCAGTGATGTAACTTGTTTTGACATGAAGAGTTCTTAGAGGGCTTTTGATCGACAGATAATTTTTTTTCAACTTGGTAGTATCCTAAAATTTGACCTTGATGTACAGTGGCTTGTCATATCTGTGTTTGGCAGCTGGCACTTCTAAAGCACTAATGATCCTAATTTGCTTACTTCTCCCCTCCCCTTTCTTGAACTTTCTACATGTAGGTGCATTTCTCATCCCTTACTTGATATGCCTGGTGATAGGTGGGGTACCACTCTTGTTGATGGAGCTTGGACTGGGCCAATTCATGGCCCAGGGAGGCATAGGCGTCTGGAAAATATCTCCTTTGTTCAAAGGTGAGTTGTCCGGGCTTTGTAGCTCAACTCACCTTTTGAATTCTGAGTTGAGTGTAACTACTCTGCAGGGTGAACAGGCAACTTCATACTCCATGTTAAAGGAAAGTTTACTGAAAAGTTAAATCAGTGGCAGAATTGACGGAAGTTGAAATGCTGTGAACGTGTCCAGTGACTTCACCCATTCAGGCTCTGGTTGGCTTTCATACATAGTTTGAACTGATCTTGAAGTGCTAAGCCTAAGGTTTTGGGGGGCAAAGTTTACATTACCGTATAACCAAATATTTCTAATGCGTCACCTAAAAGATCCCCCACAATTTTAGAGAGAAAAAATGAAATCTGCAACGAAAAGTAGGATTTGTAAGATCAGGACTGTTGAACAGTGACAGCAGTCATTTCACAGTGTTGTTTCTGCATGTAGCCCACAACACATGCTCCATCAGGGCCAATTTTTACAGGCAACTGACTCTGACATGATTTCTTCCAGGTATTGGTTTGGGAAGCGTGGTTATCCTGATACTCCTTGACATCTATTACAACATCATCTTGGCCTGGGGGATCTATTACATGTTCATGTCTTTCACCTCCGTCCTACCGTGGTCGCACTGCGGCAACGACTTCAACACCTATACTTGCAGGGACCCAAACTTGATTGGGGTCCCCGGCTCCACGTTTTGGGTCTGCGACCACTTTTGGCTAAATGAGACCCTCCCACCATTGCCCTCTGACTCAGTGAATGTCTCTGAGGCCCTGCAGAACTGCACTGATCTGGAGGGTATCAACCGGACGAGTTCTGTCACCGAGTTCTGGGAGTGAGTATTGCTTGCCGAGTTATAGGATTTACTGCGGCGTGTACACAGAGTCTTTGCTGCTGTTGAGGGTTTTCATTTTCACTGTTTTGAATAGAATGTATATTGCACATCAAATGTTCCTCTTAAAATGAAAACTTGTAGACCTATGGTCCTTTGCTTTGAAGTGCCTGCAACATTTCCATTCTTCAAGAAAAGTTTCTTTGAGGGCATGATTCAGACCCTCTGTCATAGTTTGGTTGCCATGGGCAAATCAGCTGAAAACTGCGGGCATTGTGGGGGAGGGGCCACAGACTATCCAAATATAAACAAAGGATGAAGGGCGGGGGAGGGTGGGGTGGACATAGCTGGAGACTTTGGGGGTAGTGTTAGAAACTTGTAAAATATTCCCCATGTCTTTTCTTTCTCCCCTTTGGTTTTTCTTTTTTGGGGGGATGAAATGCCCCTTATTGTACCCCTTGTAACACCCGTAGATACTGCGAACCAGTCACAGGCTATACTGACATTTGGAATTGTCACCAAAAAAAATTGTTTAGAGTGCTATTTCCGGGGGGAGAGAAGTGTTCCTTGCCCGTCCCTCTTGTATCACTTGTTAATGCTGAGAATGGTACCCTACCAGCCAGTCTGACATTTGGATACGTCAACAAATTTGGGAGTCTGACATGTGGACGCATCAACAAAGGCAAAGTTTGCCTTGTCAGTTAAATTTCTGTGTTTAATAGTCCCATGTAATTGATTTCACTGGTACATGTATATTTCCTTTTTCAGTCAAGATGGCCCACATGCCAAAGGATCAATTTTTTTAATGAAGAAGAGAACCAAAGAGAATATTTTTAACATGTATTTGATTGGATAAAGTTATTGGCTTATTCTACATACAATACCCACGTACACGTACTGTACATGTGTGCAAAGGTTTACGTGCAGAATGTTGCTTACAGTGAGTTTTTACGGCATCCATGTTTCGTCACTGTGGACATTCATAAATTTGCATATGTGCAATGTTTGTTTTATAACAAATTACAAGTGCTTGTCCTTGGCTGACAAACTGTATATAACCACTACAATGCACCCATGAAAAGATGAGGTGAATCTCAACCTCCCCACTCTCTTTTATCCTGCATTCCACCCCATGATTTGAAAGAGATTGAAATTTGAATGCATTCACACCACCATAGCCTACCCTTCTCTTCTCAGCCAGATAGCTTCTCACTTGTATAGGGTCATCTAAGTACTCAAGATCGAGAGTCGTAATCATTCAGTTGTGACTTTTCTTTATGACAGGTGTACCAATCCCAGATGCAGCCTGCCCAGTGTCTGTAATTGGGAGGCAGCGTCACTTTGTCCTGAATAACAGTAGGCAGCGTTGGCCAAACTGTTGTATTGGCGGCCTGTTTAGATCATTGCTCATGGTGTGGATGACTGTTGAGAAGGATTATGGTTTTAAACTCATTCAGACAGTGAGCACGAAGCAAACAGCGTATTATACATTTTCCAGTCAATTGACAGGGTGTTGTGGGGCTGTGCCATGTAATCGTCTCTGGTCAAAATGAATATTTCTGAAACTACATACCAGGTCTATAAACTTTCATATCGCACGTTTCACTCAGTTTTGATTATTTTGACAATTTTGTCAAATTGTTTCCACAGTTGCCCTACTACTTTTTTTTTCATACTTGCCTACTCAATTAAAAGCGAATGTACATGTACATGTTGCAATCGGCATTTTGGTGTTGTACCAACTGGCAACATCAATTGTAATTAATAATAATACTAATCATAGTAATAATAATTGAGAATTTATATTGCGTTGTTTCCATAAATATGATCAATGGCAACATACAGATACAACTTAAAGAAATAAATGGATATTTATTTGTAACCATTACAATAATGGTTCAATATGTGTACCAGTGGGTCATACCAATTCATTGATGTTTCTTTAATTTTTCGGGTATCGGGGTACCTGTTCATTGCAGAAAAGTTTACTTAATTCCCAAATTAGCTCTGTGGTATTTCATTCAATTTTGGCTCTCTTTTTGAGGATTTGCAGATTTATTACCAAAATACACTCTGTCATGAATTGGTACTAAGTGGCTGATAGTTGCGAAACATGGGTGTCAGGCGGTACATCTCTAAGAAAAGTAACCATGGAGATTTTAACCCCAATCCTCCAAAATTTGGGAGGAGTGGGGAAAAATGACCCCAAAATGTGGCTGATTGTAATAATGCATTTAAGGTTGTAGTTTAGACCTTGTGTTGTTATGCTCAGCCATGCATAAAATCATGTCTGGAGTGTGCGTGAAATCATCCATACTGCTTCAGGGTACCATCCACTCTGCCTCAACATAATGACATGAATTGCCGGAGGATTTTGAAGGATTGAGGCAGTGTTATGGGCACCCCTTGAACTCATTAAACAAGATGTCCTTGACAATATGTCTGTATACATGTACGTGCAGGAATAAGCATTATTATGCTGTTAGAACCAGGATGTAATGCACAAACCATATTTCTGACAAGCATGGCTCTTTCAAACATTCTCAACGTGTTGTTTGTTGTGTTTGGTCCTGACATTTCTCACAGCAGGTAATGTAACAGCGCAAACAAATCAAAGCACGTTACCAGAGGAATTGGGAAACTTCACCTTCAGCAGTCTGATCAATTATGTAGCCCACAAAAAGTGCCTAAAAATGCTTTCCACTCCGAAAGAAATGCAACATTTTTTCACGCTGTTCGGGTACATACTTGTATAATCCAAGTTGCGTGGCATTTGAATGATTTCTTTTGGCAGTAATCAGTCCCAGGTCAAGTCTTAATTGCCGTTGATGGATGTTGCTGTGGAGTTGTCATCAGAATTCTAAGTACATGTACGTGTACGGTAGTCCATTGGAGTATGAGGGAAATTAAGATCTTGAGCACGAGTCAGCACAATCACACGTGCCAAAGACCAACTAGAAAAAGCCAAGTTTGGTCTTAGGTCCCTACGTCTTTCAGCATCATTCAGTGTAGGATAACAGTACAGATATGGAACGCCAAAGAGGCAAAAACTTGGAGGCAACACATCGATCGTTCCTCAGAATCGATCAGTCGTTTCCCTTCATCGATCGATCGTTCCCTACCTCGATTGATCGTTCCCCTACATCGATTGATCAACCTCTTTTGATCGATGAAGAAAGAGCGATGAAAAAGAGCTATGGAAAAAGAGCCATGACAAAAGACCGATGAAACTACATCGATGCCAACTTACAAAACCTCTTCCAGCACCAAATAACACGTGTTCACTGTAACCATTGCCCACCAGGACTCAAGGCCACCCATGTTCATTACCTATAAGTCTGGTCCTGAGCCAATTGAGTCTAGTTTCCTTGTCATGAAACCACTGAGAATATTTTCTTTTTTCCCCTTGATGGGGTGGGATGGGAAGCTCATTGCCAAAGGAAATTATAGTTATACTTTATAATTTCTAAAAATTGCGTGGCACCCTCCTGCTGCAAGGAAATTATTTCATCTACGGCTATAGCTGAACGTTCAGAACGTAACAGTGTAATTTCCATGGGCTAAGGATTAATTTCCACATGTACATGTATCACAATGTAATCATGGGGAAGGACAATTGTAATCGAGCCTAGTTTGTTAGGAATCCATAGTACATCAAAATCATACATACATAGTGAAATTTGTTGAAACAAATTATGGGAACTGCATGTGTATTAAGTTTGGTAATGTTATTGTACATAGTCTAAATCATTACCAACACGTAGGGAAAAAAGAAGCATAATGGTTTGGCTTTTCCTATTTACACAAACAATGGTTCAGACTGGACAAGAAACATAAGACAGGAGACATGAGACAAGACAGCAGGATACACTGGCAGGATAGACAACAGTTAAAGACAGATGTGCTACATGTTGAGACCAGACCTTTAAAGAGTGGAAGTGGATTGGGATGAATAAATGATCTGATTTTCATTATTCAAACTAATAAGGTAGATTTGGAAATAATAAGTGTTAAATCTGCTTCGGTAACAGGAGCGAAAAGTGAAGAATGTGCACATCTTTCATCACGAAAATGTTCAAATGAACTGCTTGATTGAGGAAGTTCTCTTGCTATTTTCTTGCCAATGTTAATGAAATAATCATTGAAAGCATTAGCAATATCAATATCAAAATCAATTTTAGCATCAGTTTGCATATAATGGGACAGATTTTGTTTAAGGTTCGTTTTACCGAGCAGCGAATTAATAAGCGCCCATGTACTTTTAACATTATGTTTCTCTTATTAATTTGTTCACTTAAGTAATTTTCTTTGCCATTCTTATTACACATGTTCATTTGTTTTTAAACTTTATTCAGGCAGATTTATTATGAACTGTAGGATTCTGAAGATATTTTTATGCAGATTTTTTCTCTGATTGAGTTATAGATTCCTTCCGTTATCCAAGGTGGTTTTGACTTATTAATATGACTTCGGAGCTCACACTGTGGACAATTTTTGTCATACACAATTTAAGAAATTCTCATAGGCCTCATCAACATTATCTGGGGCAAGTTCATCTTAATCTTAGTTAATGCTTACAGGCTACCAGAGAAATTTTCATGTTTTTCTCTTTTTTTTATTTGTAAGAATACCAGGTTACAAAACTTCTGAAGTTTCTTTGTACGGTTCATTTTAATCTTTTCTTGCTTACTCATCGGTCAAACGATGATGTCCAGAGATTGTATCGGCGGTTGTTGTCCAAATGCTACGAAATCCTTTGTTTTTTCTAAACATCCAGGCGATAGTCTTTTAGGATCCATGAGACGGCCGAGATTATACACTCTCTTTGTTGCGCTTAACAATATGCATATTATTTATATGCACCTCATCGGTGTTAGCTTGGGGTTTCGGGATCAGAAATGAAAATAATAAACTGTGCGTATACTGGACTAAGTGCGACTCATCCACTCTTCCACTGAGAAAGTGAGAGGCAATATGGGTGATTCATAGTAGTGCACCTCCAAGAGTTTGCAATGCGTTGACCAATCACGATGTGCAAAATCTGTTGACCTAATACGCGTTTGGAAAGGGTCGAGAGATTTTGTGCATTGTGATTGGTCAACGCGTTGTAAACTCTTGGAGGTGCACTGTTTTGAATTGCCCGTATTGAAACAAGTTGACAAATTAGATTGAGATATTTTAAATTCAGAAGGAAATAGTGTGTCCATCAGTGTTATGGAAGTGCATAGGTAAGATAAGTAGGTCATTGAATGACGGAATAGTTCTGCCGGTTCAGCCAGTTGTACTGGTTCTGCCAGTTTTGCCAGGATGTTATCAGTGTGGAAAATAAAATTTGTATCCACCTAGACTAAATATGTTTGCCCACAGTGGTTAAGGAGCGACCCATAACAACTGGCATCCCATCCAGGGGAAATAGAAGTGATATTCTTGTGGTTTAAACCCGATATGAACACCTACCTGACAACTCAATTTATTGGCTCAGACCAGACCGACAACACGAGTGGCCTTGAGTGCTGGTGGGCTGTTACAGGGAACATGTGCTTTCTTTGGTACTGGAAGGGGTTGTGTAAAGTTGACATCGATGTAGCTTCATCGGTCTTTCTCCATCGGTCTTTTGTCATTGCACTTTTATCATCGCTCTTTTTTCATTGCTCTTTCTTCATCGATCAAGAGAGATCGATCGATACAGGGAACAATTGATCGATGTTGAAGAACGATTGATCGACGTAGAAGAACGATCGATCGATGCAAGGGAAGGATCGATTGATATAGGGGAACGATCGATCTATATTGATTAACGATCGATGTGTTGCCTCCAAGTTGCCTCTCTGTTGCCTCTTTGGCGTTCCATATACAGATGCTGTTCAATTTTGACACTCAGGCTGACAAGAGTGTCACTAAGGGAGGTTTGAGATGGGTGGGTGACTCACATTAGTCACTGCTTTAGGGAAAGGCTTGTCATGTAGTAGCAGTCTTCCTTAATTGACAGGGAACATATCATACACGCACATGTATGTAACATGAATGGAAGGGAAGAATTAAGGCTTGTGAAGGAGAAATCAGAAAACCTGCAACTTGGGAAGTGTGAATTAAAAAGACTTTCTCCAAATGACAATGTGTTTGTCCCATTGTTTTCCTACATACATGCACCGTACTTCTCTTGCCAATAGCAAGAATCTGATTAACCCTCGTTCTTCATTATTCCTAACTCCTTAGTGTCTTTTACTGGGTACTGGACCAAATCTATCAAAATCCAACACTCCCTGCGTAGTATTCATTTCTTGCTAGAAAGCCCATTTCTAGCTTGATGGTCATTGTTGATGAACTTATCACACACAGCTTACATGAAATCATTTGTACTCTTGCCATGACAACATGCACTGAATGCCCCGACAGTGCTTCAGGCCTCCTGTACCAAGTCCATCATAATCCATCAAAAAGTGAAAATGGATTTTGGTGCATCTGGGTGGTCAGGGATCATTTCTGCCTGAACCTTCCCAAGTCTAGTAAACTCAGCGCCGGTTGTAATATGCTGGCACAAATTAACAAACGCTGGTTTGTTAAAGGTTAAGGACAGTGAAGTAGTCTGAAGGTACTTGCTCCTGGCGTCTGCAATACTGTATGGGCAGCCTTTAAGGCAAAAACGACAGCACTAAAAATTTAAATAGAAAAGCGTAAATTAACCAAGACAAGAATGTGACATAATCGATACATGCATGTACCAAAAGTCATAATTAAGATTAGCAATACATGGTTGCAACAATTAGCGGTTAATTTGGACAGTGTTATGGAAACGTGCTCATAACGGAGGTTGGAGGTGAAGTGAAAAGCTGTCCCCCAGTATATGGTCAGATGGACAATGTACATGAACATCTACTCCTGTAATAAAATGTACTGTACATGTACATCTGCCATCTTTGCTTGCTTTTCTGGATGGTCAAAAAAATTGGTGCAAGAGAATTTTGGTCAAATTTTTTTAATACTGTGTAGGGCTCCAGCTGGCAAAATTTAAATAAATGCCAAGGTTTTAGCTAAATGCAGACGTTTGCAGCCACTTTTATGGTTTTTTTGGCAGCACTAAGTATAGAAATTTTTTAATCTCTTGAATAGGAGCTATTTTAATATCCTAACAGGGCATGTTCCAATGGGAGTCATGCAGGAAAAGCAATGTGTACAGGAGGTGTGCCCTATCAATGTGGCCAAATCCTGAGTTGCATGCGTACTTTGTTAAACTGAAGCTGGTATTGGAATGACCTTACCTTATTGAAATGTGTACATATTCACCCCTTCAAGTCTGTCAGGTGCTGTTGTTAGTGACTGGTACAGTGTAGGGCAATAGGCAAAGATTTTGGCTTGTCACTATAGCCAAAGCTACGGTGTTTCCTGAACTTCATTGCAATTTTGACATTCTCTGAATTGCAATTTCCAAGACAGGCATTGTTTAATCAATTTGTTAATCCCTGAAAAATCATCACTTTTTATTGCACAAAATCTGTTCACACCCTCGGAAAGTGTCCCCCTCCCCGAAAAAAAATTACTAGAATGAAATGAGTTTGTCTTTCAAAAATGGGAATTTACTTGTCTTGTTTTTCAGACGTAAGATCCTTCAAATACATCTTTCTGAGGGGCTCCACGACATCGGATTACCTAACTGGCAGTTGACCCTTTGCCTTCTCCTGGCTTGGGCGTTGGTGTATTTGTGCGTTTTCAAGGGTGTGAAAAGCTCCGGAAAGGTTAGTCTGACCAAAGAAAATTAGACAGACATCCTGACCTGACAGATGCCCGAGGGAGGACCGTCCTAGTGGCAGGGGGCAGGTTGGGACAGGTGATGAGGGGGGCATGAACCCGTGGAAAGAATTAATGAGACAGACAGGATGAACTGGGCTAGGCCAGGCAAGGCTGGGATAGCTAGGAAGAGAAAACAAGAAGAATATTCAGCACAGATTCTCACTGTATTTGAAACCTGTTCCCTTGGTCAATGTCCCAATCAGTTTTTTCCCAATCATTAGACATGTTCCTGTGTTGTGTAAAGTTTTTATCATGTTTCTCTTTTTGTGCAGTTTGTTAGCAAAGCAGTTGGGCTCCCACTCCCACCCATCCCCATTGCAAATCAGTCTAGCACTGATTACCAACCTTCAAAAAAAATCCCCACCCAGATTCCCTCCCCCCCCAAATGGAAGGTTCCATTCTCTCATGTTGACCTTCATTTTGGGTGCACTGTGTTCTGGCCAATTTTCAGATTTGGTTTCTGTTCTTGGAAGAGTACTTTTTTGCTGCATGTATGTGTATTTTAGAGTGACAATTACACCAGTTGTCCTTATCCCTTTTCCGAACATATTTTGTCATTCAGTGTTTTATCTCTAGTCGTAATGGCAGACCTCCGATCGTTTAAAGGGGATGGGCCTTGCCTGGAAGATTTCTTGTAAAACATGCATCAACACATTAAACAAACATACATATAACAAGAAAATACATCTGCATAATCTCAAAATGCATGGAAAGATGTTAAAAATTATAGTTTTCATGACCCTATTTCACTCCCTTCTCAGAGTAAAAGCTAAACAACAGCCTTCGGGTACAGAAAGTTGTCTGAAGAAATTCCCAAGAACCGGGACGCCTTAGGACGGAATCCTTTATCTGTGACTGTTTACTGTTATGCAACGACATGTCAACGTGTATGTAATGCAATAGCGTTAGTGTGTACAATCATGCCAGACTCAAACGACGATAATTCCAGCATTGATGCTTTTTCCAATTACGACAGGGATCAGTTGTCATGTTCGTCTCATTCATTTGACAAAGAAAGTATCATTAGAGGAGCTGATGATGAGGCACAAGAAATATTGCCTTCTCAGTTCGAACCAGAATACACTCAGGAAGAGATTTTGCAACTCGAGGCTGTTGATCACATTCACAGGCATGGCGGCGACTTGGAGGATGGACAACAAACCACTGACTAATTTTAGAGTTTTGCCCTGCCCGAAGTGTATTACAACACTGTATGCTCTTTATTCTGTTTTCTGTGTAGTCCATCCAGCACCAATATAATAGGCACACAGGAAAAAAAAACCAACGAATGCAACCTTAATTGTTTAACATAAGCCTTTGTTGGGAGGATTACCCAGGGCCTTTTCTTAGCAATGAGGAAAAACTGTTATATTGAATGCCTTTCCCGACTGACAACATCAAGTTGTTCAGCGAGGTCTGGTCAAAACTCCAAGTTACAGAGAGTTGGGTTATGAATGCATGTAACACCTGATCTTTGTTACGAGTCCTCTTTATCTAGATCTTCTGAAAGTTTATGGGTAATGTAAAATGAAAGAACACTAGGCTATTTGGCAAAGTAGTGTGTCAGCACCCGCAACAATACACATACATTGTACACTACAACTGTTAGTACCACTGCTATTGTTTTTAAGCAATGTACACGTGATAATAATGTATACAATGTATGTGTACATTTACATGTAAACATGTACACCCTCTGTTTTCTGAAAGCTTGCAATGAAAACTGTGCTTCATGTCCATTCATGTACATGTACATGTGCCAATCTATACACATAATATGTGCTGGTATTCTAGACACTAGACAGGCACTGTTGCAGTGTCTCTGTGAAGTCATCCAGGCAAGACATGGTTCAGTGTTTAGGTTTGTCTCAAAACTAACTAAAAACCCAAACTGAATCACTGAAAGCAGTTCCGGGTATGGATTGCATGCTTGCTTATTGAGATACATGTACATTGTAAACTTGCATGGTGAGGCCAGCAAAATCTTTTAGTTATCAGTTTTTTTGTGCATAAACCAATGCATCACTGATATTCTCTTCCTAGAATTACATCATCACAGTTTGCTCATGAATATGGAATTCCCATTGGCATTAGAAACCAACGCGACAGTAAAGTACCCTTTAAAGCAGTTTAAAATACACTAAAATAATACCCTTTCCAATGCACAACGGTGCATTTTGGAAATTTGTATTTAAAAAAATTGCAGTGACCCTCATCTAAGGTATCCTTTTGGAGTGACTGGAGCTTTCCACTACAATATATTGTTTGATTAAAGTTGGAGTTTGTAACCACTATTGTTAGCAACAATTTATCAACATGATAGGGAAAGATTAGTCTTTTTCTCATTGCGTCATCATCCAGTGCATGGTTTTCAAGTAAGTGCTAATACAGGAAGGATGGACTTTAGTTCCCCCTCGCGTTTATGAACATGTTTCTGAAACTCTGAAACATTTTGTTTTCAAATTTTAAAAGGCCACACTATTTTAAACTTTTTAGATTCTGCATGAACAGGCAGCTGTGTGGGAGGATTGGAATAAAAATGGAAATGAAATTCACTTTTAAATCCATGTCAACCAATTGTGTATTTGTTGAGTGGGTGGGTAATTACAAAAACTGGCTATAGGCTGGAGACAGACATGCTTTCTCGCTATAAACTGTTAATGGTTAATTGTGTGATTTTATTTTTTTACGACGCTGAGCTCCGCTGTAATTGCAAGTGCAGTGGGAAAAAATCTTTAAAATTGGCTATAAAACTTGAATCTTTTATTTTTCCATGCGGCCAAAAATAATGTAAGCTGATTTATAATCCTAAAATTGCAAAGACAAATAAAAGTGATCTGAAATCAACATTTATGTACAACCTGCTTTGTACATTAAAGCCGGAGGCAAAGGCAGACTTGATACCGAACTTAACCTCGACCGAAACACAATACAGTACGCCATTACAGTGTATGCACCAAAATTCAGTGTTTTGGGTTAATATGGGGATGTGTTGAATAGTTTAATAGTTTATTGATTATTGCATGTTATTTATTTTCAAATTGAATATTCTTGGATAAAAATTAATCAAAAGGGAACAAATTCATTTATTTGGTTGCAAAATTGCTGTCCAAAAGCATATTTCAAGGTACATGTATTAATGTGCATGATGGTATAATTGTCGGGTCCCTTATTTCACCTCTTGTACTGTGAAAACCAACCAGACTTAACAACAGGTGGCAAAATTAGGGACCCGGTGACTGTACTGTCATGGACATTACATGTACATTATTAATAAACCTAAAAGCAGCTAATACCTCTTGAGTATACGCCAAACAGTAAAAGCCAAGAAGTGCCAAGAAGTACTATTCCTTCCATTTTCTTCTTTCCTTTTTGTAGTCAGGGAATAAATCACCAGTTAGGACCAAACAACAGTTAGACACTCAACCCCCCCCCCCCACACTCGATCAAGGACCGATACCACCACACAAGCATGTACACTCTGTTTCTGCTTTTGTAGGGCATTGAACCAACTGGAAGGTCCTATAGAATATCAAGTAATAAATAGTCTGAATAGAATATCAAGTGATGGATAGTCCTTTTAGTGTTGAACCAACTTGTTTGGTCTATTTTCTCTGTGTTAAGCATACATGTACATGTAGAGCGAACCTGGTGTACTCAAGTGCATGTGGGTTATTCTATGAATTTGGGAGTCCAGGTTTTCCTATCCTTGTTATGTCTGATATACACGCATGTGACCAGCTCCACAAAAATGGGTATTGTGGGACATTTATTTCAAAATGAATCACATACACATTTGAATTGGTTACATTCATTTTAAGGTATAATTTGGGGTCAGTTTGAACCCTGTGGCATTTTGCAATCTGGAGATATATTGATTTTTGCATAATCATATCATACACATTAACAGTATTGCTTCGAGAGATACAGCCCTTTAAACATAGGAAGTGGAAAAAGAAATTAGCCAAGAAGAAAGTCTCTTGATACCCATAACAACAGTTAGGGTTTCTTGTATGAACTGTGAAAGTACTGATATAATAAAAGCCAATAAACCAAGAAGTAAAAAATCACCCTCTCCATGTACAAAAGCCCTACATGTAGTAAATGAAATAGCACAGTGTCCCTTAATACCCTTTTTCGCAGAGCGGGTCACATATGATTTAGTATGTGTGGAACACATTCATGAATTTCCAAGAGTTATCAAGTCATGCAAATGACCAGCAAAATAAATAAAAGTAGTTTTAAATAAATTTCAGTATCTCTTGTCAAATTAAACTGGTCAGGCACAAAAGGTTCATCGCTATCATTATTATTTATTTGACCAATCAGGCCTGTAGGCTGGGAGGGGGCTCGGGAATTTAAAAGACCCCCCCTCTCTTCTGAGTTCCGCTCGTTGGTGGTTTTTTAATAAATACAATTTTGAATACTATAATTTTCGGAATACAAGCTGTGGCTTTTTACGTTGATTCTTACACTGAAAATGTCCCTGCGACTTATAATCCGGGCGGCTTTATATGACAACATTTGAAGAATGAAAATAGTCACTAAACATGGCGCCGGTGCCTCAACGCAGCCTAGCCTGGGCTGCTGTCACCACTGCAGCCAGCCATGTGTGCAAGGTTGGAGGTTGGTTTGAAGGAATCAAGAACAGCTGACTCTTTGATATGTGGTGGTATGGAGTTCTGTATCCTGGAGAAACTAAGGAGAGTGGAATGAAATGCTTGTGTCCAGGCAGAGAAATAACACAAACATACATCACATGTTAGACCCCAAGGTCGAGTTCGGGCGGCCTGTTCTTGACACGGGTTTCTTGTTCTGGCGCTCGAATGGCAAGAACACGACTCAAGAACACTGTTCTCGGAGCAGGATCACACACCACCTCCTCGTCAGGGTTTGCAGGAACACACGGAAAAACTCGAGAGATTTTGATTTTTAACAGCTGCAAAAAGTCAAGAGATGGCTTTCAAAGCCATAGACAATGGGAAGTTTTGCAAAATTAACATTCATTATTTTCCGTAACACAGAAATGAATGTTCCTGTTTATATAGAAAAGAATTCAGACCATCCAAACATTAACACTTGAATAATGTAGCTTGCATGGATGCCGTCATGTTGCATGTTGCTTATCACTAATTACCATCGATAACCGGTTGTTTGTTCCCGGCATTCGAGCGGCCGACCCACGAATAACAAATCGAGCTGTTCGTGAACATACAGGAACAAGCCACCCGAACTCGGCTGTAGAATGACCCATGCATGGCCATAGCCATCTACATGTACACAGATTCCGCGTAATCCACATTGTACACACTGATATATGTATGCCCCTCATCATAGTCTCACTTGGTCGCTAAATATTAAGAAAAAATATATTTTTATAGATCTTGTATTTAAACCATTTTTGTAGCACGGTAACATTTGGAGAGCCACTCGATTGTGATTAAGTTCGCATTTGGTAATCCATCAAGGCTGTTGCCACGGCAGTTGTTTATTGTTGTCTCATATGTTCTGTATTTGTTTATGCCTTAAGAAATAAGAAATGAAATGAATGAATGGAAAAACGTTACACATGCATGTATTAAAGTTCATTTGTACAATTTGCAGAGTTGTCAGTTTTTTTACTAATGCGAATCTTCAACTGTGAGTTCACACAATCACTTCTGTTTTTAAAGTCCAAGCATGCAGTTCAGGGAAATACATTGCAGAGTATGATTGGGTTAGTTAGTGGAATATTTATGTTTATTTTACTCTGAGAACAGATTTTGACAAAATGGAATAAATGAAAGTCAAAGTTGCCTCTAGTCTCAGAGAGTTTCAGTCACTTTTCATAAACATTTTAATTGGACATTCCATTTCTGCAGTGCAGCCATCACTTATGATCTACATGTAAGCCTTGTTCAGACAACTGAAAGTTTATTCAGGGTTTTATGCATGTACCCCTCTGCTCTGCCTCTCAAGACCTTCTGCAAGTTAAGACAAGCAAAATGAAGGCTTATGGCAACGAGGCCTTTTCTAGTTCCTTTAGTGCTCAACTCTTATGGAATCTCTTCCACTATCTTTGCGCTCTGAACCCTGTTTTGATACCTTTAACCCTAACCCCCTAGGGACCATTGAAATCCTGCATAACCTTGTTGGGTTTAGCGTGGTTAGGGTTAAATGACATCTTAAAGCTTACTTTTTGAAAAGTTATCTTGACTTTTTCCAGTTTGGTTTATTTATATGCCTTTCTACTATAATTAGTTTGATTGGAGAGAATTCTTGCTAGTCTGGATACCATGCATATGCAATGATTCTGACTACTTGACGAATCAAGGGTCCGGTATCACCCCATGTCTATGTGACCAAGGCTGGATCAATTCCTCCAGTTTTCCGGGAATAGCCGAAATATTACGAAGTCGTCCTGTCCATATTCGGTATGTTCGGATGGTACCATTGAGGTTGGGTTATTCCAGGCTGTGTAGGTAAGCTAGCTGTTGATGCAGGGACACCACCACAAGCTTTTTAGGTTCAATGCTTCAACAGCTTCAGTACCAAATGTCGCTATCCTGAAGGTCTCCTCGGTAATCTCCCGAGAGGAGAAGCTAGGAAGAATCAGGACCTGACGACGACTGCCCACACATACAGGGGGCTCCACTTGCATCATATATATTTATATCCACGAATGATGCCTGACCTAAGATTTTTTATCAAGAGTCATCAGGGAATCTTTGAGCAGGGAACCAGACCAAATTCCAGTGGAAGTTTTCTTAACAGAAAGAATGCTTAAATTTCAGTTGTAGATTTTTCTTGTAGTAATAGTATTTCATTATGTAAAGCGCTTTGATATAACTCCTGTTATGAAAAGGGCTAAAAAATATAAATTATATTGCTATTATTACCAATAAGGAGACCTGTTGGATGGTCCAGTTGTGATGCTTATTTTACGTTCACAGCAATGCACTTGTATACCGTAGTCACATGAGCTGCCATATGGACCATTGTTTCAAATTGCCTTATTGTGTTACATCTGAGTATATTGTGACATCCAGGTGTACACACATGCATACCTACACGTGTGAATAGAAATTTAACCCTTTTGGCCTTGACTTTTTGTGGGATGATAAAATTTTCCTCTGTTAATCGTAGACAAATACAGGAACAGTTACTGATGGGAATGCAAGTGTTTTATTCAGCATGTGGCGCGGGATACAAGTGCCCTGTGAAAAAGGAACATTTTTACAATATTTAGGCTAAAATGATATTTGTGGAGTTTGTTAAGAATTCATAATTAAGTACACATAGGTTCCTCTGGAATATTCAATCGTTGGTTATAATAGTCATCACAAATAGTGAAACTGCAGTCACTACTGTTAGGCTGGCATGCCCCCCCTCCCCCCCCCGGAAAGCTTCTAATCATCAGAGAAGTGCATGCAGTCTTGTAGGGCGATTCCATGGTAAAAGAGATGGATTGGCGTAGTGGTTCTTTCCTCGCCCTCTTCTTCTGTGGCTGGCTGTGATTTGTGGCTCTGTCCACATGTAGCTTTCAGTCCCAGCTACCTGATTCCACGGGTTTTACCCAGAATTTTCCTCTTGGGCTTTCATGCTTTCTTCAGGCTTGTGAGCTACAGCGCCTTGGGCGCTCAGTTGAGGAATCCTTGGTTTCATTACCAAAAATGAATTTATAGTAATTACACGTTGACACATTGTGATGCACGTCAAAGGTTGTGTTGTGTGAATATCTTTATTAATAAAATAGACAAGAGACCAAGTGGATAATGGTGGTGTAAGAGTTCAGAGACCCAACCCAGACCTTCCCATGCGCAATTTGTTGGTCGCAACCATCTGGCTCATAGTGCGTACCAGTAATTTCACTCTGGCAGGAAATGTGGATGGCTTGCAGAGAGACAGAAGCACGTCACACCTGACACACCGGTTTATGTGCTGTTGCCAAAATATGCAAAAAACCGTTGAGCAATGTGGTGCAGAGCAGATGTGGTACCACCTGCTAAGTTTATTATCAGCATGCTTTCGTTGACAGCTTCTATGCAAGATAAAATTACCAGTAGCATATGATCCCTGGGTTCCAGTAGACCGTGGATTTATCCTTTGGAGTAGGAAAAGCGATGGATTTGCACCTACATGTAGTCCAAAGTTACACAACAAGTCACACCTCATCAGAATGCCTGGGGTGTGTGATTTTCATAGAAGTTTGACTTTTAAGTTCTACATAGGTTAAAATAATGTGCTGGTAATATTTAAGACACCTGCGGAGGAACGGGGGGGGCATTGTGCCCCCTTTGAAAACGCAGTTATTTTGCCCCCTTCCACTTTTTAGGCCTACATGTACCAGTCTTTGGAGGTGTACATTGCAACTTCATTCTTTTCAGTCTAATGGCCGAAGTTGACCCCCACTTTTAAAACCGGTCTGTTGATTTAAGACCTATCATATTGAAAAGAAATGTCTGAAAAGAAGGACCATACTAGTCGTGAATGGGAAGTTATGTTAAAATGTTCTTTTGTTGTGCTTTTTTCCCCTGTACCAGAATTCTCCATGATTTCTGAATGCAACAACACAGCAGAAAGGAATGACACAATAATTGGGACTCAAAGATTGTATGTTCCACCCGATCACCTTGCATATTATTCCTACACCTGAGAGTCATGTTCTCAGGATTCCTGGATGCTCTTTTCCTTGGTCCACAGGTGGTATATTTCACGGCTACGTTCCCGTACATCCTAATCACCATCCTGCTGGTCCGTGCAGTGACGCTGGAGAACGCAAAGGAGGGACTGCTCTATTACGTAAAACCAGACCTCAATCGTCTCGCAGATGGGCAGGTGAGCTACCTGATGCTTTCGTCATTTGCTCCTTTTGTCCTTATTGTTTTATGTGGAACAAGACAGTAGAGGTATAAGGGTACTACTTTGTTACGTCAGATATTAAAAGAATGTTGCCTAATATAGAGGACATGTAGCAGTTGCTCCGTGTATCTCGGCATCTACAACTTTCAGTAACGGCTTTGCAAGGTGCATGTACATGTAGAATGTAAGTTGTCCTATCCCTGTGAGTGTCCATTGCACCACATTATTTTCATGCTCTCTGATTCTGAAATCAGCCGAAGAACATTTAACACTTACCGGTGTTATGGTTTCCTCCTGGTCCCTCACACGAAAACCCTCTATCTCCAAATACATACATTTACAGAGTCTCAGATTTGAATGTTCACTGAAATGTAAGCCAGGAAATTTCGAGTGGGCATAATACTTTCAAGCAAATTTGTGTGTTGTGCATGGTTTTTTTTCTTCAAATGTGACCAGATCTCACAAAATGATTCCCAAAGCCATTAAACCCAGCAAGCCCATGAAAATCTCCGTCAAAGTATTTAAGGCATCATTATTTCAACAGCAGTCCAGCACTACCCCTGAGAACGCACAGAGTATGCTTTTCAAAACATCAAGAGCACTCTCACCGCTGGTTCTTTTCATAACGATGCTTCTTCAAAGAATAGACACGTGTACATATACATGGTTGTAGCCAAAAGCTTTGTATCTGCCCGGAAAAATAAGCCTTTTGCGAGTTGCATTTGAATAAACTCTGGTACGCTGAGTTTTTTAAATTCACATGAACGTAACAATTTGAATTCTCCATACTAAAGCCACTGTTGCTGTACCGCGTAATTCGGGGCAAGCTTTTGCTTAGTTACATAAGAGATGCCTGGAACCAATGCACTGTTCGCAATGGATAAGAAGGGCACAAAGGAACCAATCCATTCCAGAGATGATGGTTGCTATGCAAATGCTTGCCTTGAATCACGCAGTGTAGCAACGGTGTCTTTGTCTTTAGTCTGGGGAATTCAAATTATGTTTATGTGCAATAAGTTGACACAGTGTACCAAATTTTATTCAAATTTAACTTGCAAAGTGCTTATTGGTGTGCAAGAAAATTTCAATTAGATTAAACTCAGCTGTCTCATTTTATGTATCGTTCAGATTGGTATTCTGATGAAAATGAACATTACGTGGGTAGCATTTACTGTATGTATATTGAAGTCCACTTTGATTGCTGTACCAGATCAAGTTCTTTCAAAGGACTTAAAATTGGCTTGGATGACTTGTGTCTCAGTTTTCTTTAGTTGGGTCAATGCTATGACTCGCAGAATCTCTCACAGATGGCTCATTTCTCTCTTGTTGCCGACCCACAGACCTGGCTGGATGCTGCCACTCAAATTTTCTTTTCCTACTCCCTGGGGTTGGGTAACATGGCTGCCCTTGGGAGCTACAACAGTTTCAACCATAACTTCTTCAGGTGAGCAAGTACCAATTTGAAACAATTCTGATCAAGGACTTCAGTTCAGTGTATCTTACATTATTTGTGCCGTCGCATTGACCACCTTTTACCATAACTTGGGTGGTTAAAGACATTATACACATACCGTACTTTGTGAATTGCTTGCTTTCCAGGAGTGTGGGGGAATGCCCAAGGTGAAGAAGTTTTCACGTAAATAACACTATGGTACACATGTACAGTACATGTACACATGTACAGTGGTACATGTACGATACACATGACTGGGGAGGTAACACGACCGAGATACCGGCACCTTCGGTTGCACTCCCGCTTATAAGGGGGAGCTACATGTAGGGGTCATTCCATTTAAGTGGATAACAAAGTGTGACAAAGGAGCTGACATTTGTATGTGTCATTTTCCCCCAAGTTTTCACACATTATTAATCGTGTTTCTCATAACTATTAATACTTTTGCAATAACTTAGGCGGATAAGGAAATAATACTGAATTATGCAAATTGACTCAGCCCTGGTTATGAAGTGACGATTAGCCGGGAAAGAAAGCCATTTTTATTGCTTTGTTTCTGATTTTCTCTTCAACAGGGACGGTGTCATCTTTGCAATAGTCAACAGCTTCACAAGTATCTATTCAGGAATTGTCATCTTCTCCGTGCTGGGATTCATGGCAGGACAGCAGGGAGTCCAGGTGTCAGAGGTAGCCAAATCGGGTGAGTCCAGGTCCCGGCCCGACAATCAAATTCAAGGGGCTGCTCTTGGCAGAAACCATTGCTGAGTATAAACAATTCTTGCTGAGTAACGAGGTACATGAGTACATGATATACCTCCAGCCTCCAAAATAGGGTTTTTCAGTTTGCCTTTATGTTTTACTTAACTGCATTCCATCTTACTTAACCAGCACACCATTCAAACGAAAGTCTTGTTCTTTTTAATTTGATACCACGTTTTGGTTGTGATAATTGTAGACCAGATGATATGTTAAATGCCGATTTTTTAAAATCACATAGTGGTAGAAACATTGGTTTGGGCATACTAATGGTTGATAATGTTTCTTGAAGAGCTTTCCACTTCACTGTAATTTCACATACCACTTCAGTTGCATGTACATCTAGGGTGTGAATAATTTATGTACAAGCAACAGAATATTTCAAGTATTTAAAAGTATAATGAAACAAGGCCACCAGTCGTTTTTCAAAAGGTGGGGGACATAACCTTGAATAGGACCGTTGTGAGTGTGTAGCACAAAGTCCCATATAACAGTCCTTAAGAAAATTTGGATTGTAGTTGTTTTGTGATTCGATCTCAGGCAATGTTTCTCACCACATGAACTAATTATTTAATGGCATGCTTGTTTGCTAGACTAATTCCACTGTTTTAATAATTTTATTTAAATATACCAATCAACTACTAGGCCTGCTTCCAGTACATTTTTGTATTTAGGGTCGGAAAAAAATGAGGGGACAAATGAAATGCAAATGTGAGCTAACGTTGGCCACATTAACAGTATCTCAGTCAGGTATGTTGTCATGGGCATCACCCTGATTTTTTTTTTCTTTTTGTAATTTTATTTTTGGTGGGGTCTAAGTACTCTGCAGCAAAATTGACAATCCCCAAATGGTGGAAGGACCAGGGACAGTTTCCTGACATTCTGTAGCAAATTAGTGATTTCAATCCCTTGCCTAATTTGGGGGTTTCATTTTTCTAATTTGTTCCGTTTAGTTAAAGAAAAAATTGCAGAGGGGGACTCTTTTTTGGGAAAATGCCCATTTCCCACAGGAGAGACACATTCTGCTTGAATATAGCCTTGATCAAGGCATACTCATTAAAAGCTGCACCACATTGGTACGGTATTCGGTTGTGTTCAGTACGTAGTACATATGTGGAACAACAAGCTGTGGAACAACAAGCCAAACAGCAATCTCGGTCAGCTGAACCAGGACAAATACCTTGGTTACCAACTGTTACCAGTGGGGTTTGGGGTGGTGCTCCTTATGATAGTTTAACCCCAGCTTACTTTGGAAAGACTTTATTGACAGGTTAACCGCTGCATGCTTTGTGTGCTTGCAACCACATAGCCATGTTACAGTCATATTACACGTGTGTACAATGTAGAATCAGAACTCAGTGCATTGCTTACCATGCCTGCAGGGTAATGCAGTTTTTTGGACTGTTGATTCAGTGATGAAATTTTCCCAGGTATTGAGGTCTGGAACTGTCTTAGTTTCAGTGTAATATATGGTCAAAGATAGGGCCAAAACAAGCTTTACATATTGACCTACTCAACTTGGTGTGTCCGATGTGCTTTACAGCATGGGGTACAATGATTAAATTTATATCCATTTTAAGGCATCGATAACATACACACACAGGCTTCATGGCTTCCTGATGTTTGGGACCAAAATCCTCGAGTACCTAATAATTCACCGCTTCAGAATTCAAATAAAAGGAGTATTTTAGTACAACACAGTTCAGCCGTGACTCAGCCAAGCTTGGCTAGCATTATGTTTTGATGAGGTAGTTGCATAAGTGACATGACATTGGAATGAACTATGATTGGACAGTCCATAAATATGCATGTCTACACTCATTTTGTATTCGCAAACAAGCTATGTGCAAGCAAAATAAAGAAAAACATAAGCCTTTTGGACGGTTGGACCAAGGCGTTCATCGTTGGGGTTGATTTGCATATTATGCTAGCTGCGCAAGGTCGCTGTTCATGTTGTGCACGAAAACAACAATGGAAACCGATAGCTGGCCTGCACAGTACAGCTAATGACAAATGCCTTGGCCAAGGTTAGGTTGAATGAAAGAGCCACATTTTTGAAAACAAAGGCATTCACTTTGCATGACCCTTGGGAGACATGAAAACACATTGGTTATTGACAGCTTCATGCTTTTTTTGTAATCTCTTTTGGATTTATCGTAATTACATAAGGCCTCTCCAAAGCATGACGGCAAAAGGGGGGATGGGTTTGCTGGAATCAGAATTGCCAACCTGTACTGTTTTTTCGTATTCATGTGGAGATCGAACAAGAATACTGAAGTGCAGATCTGCATTTGAAAATACAGATTTTAGAAAATCGGATCATGCTTATTGTACACAATATTGACAGGCTTGCTACGGCCTGCCGGCCGGTGGGCATGTATGTGATTTGACTTCTGACCAAAACCGATTACTGGTTCATTGATTACTAGTTCACCTGCGCAGTGAACATAAGGAGTTATGATTTTGTGGAGTTGAGTGTTCATGGGGCACCTACCATGGAGTTGAGGATAGTCTGATTATCTGACAGTGCATTGCGTGCTCCAGCCCAACCCACATGTGTTATGTATAGGGCGATTGCTATACAAATTTGCTAGTGCTGTGTGGTGTGTACCAGTGCATCGTGCATACCTTGGAAGTTAGATTCTGTAATTCAGCGTAGCACGGCTGGTCGTAAAAATGGCTTCAACATCGTCATCTTCAAAGAGTTCCGGAGAGCAGCCTTTCAAATAGGGATACACACACACAGAGATGGACATATATTTCACTGTTCAGAAGGGATGAACTGTACACAATGCAAGATGCACACTTTGTTTGTATGACTTTCCAATGACCATGGAGGTGCAAATGACTCTCAAGTTCACATAGGATGACAGGTGTAAAAAGGCAGCTTCTGTGTTCTGCATTCACTTTGGTTTGGGGAATTACGTGAGTGAATATTTCACTTTCAAATACTTTTAGTTTACCCCAAATATTGTTTTTTGGCCTCCAGAAGTACCATTTGTTACTGAAACAGTCTTAATGCTGTTTAAATGACATGTGTAAACCACCAGTTGGGATTAAAATTAAGCATTAAACATTCTGACAGCGTCACAAAAAACACTGACTTTCAGGCTTCAGTATACTGAAAAGCTAAGTTGTTGTCAGCTCTGTGGAATGTTTGTTTGTTTTTTATACGTTCTCTGCTGGAACATTTATGTACATACCGCTTTTTCTGCAACAAAGGGATAAACCTAAAGTCTCCCAATTCCAGGCCTGAAGGCTTTATCTGCTTGCCTTTGTTTGCCACTGAGAGCCATACGTTTCCGCTGTGGCACTTGACACAGCTGTATTGAATCATTGAGCTGGCACGTTCCCCTCTAGCAGTGGAAGCACAATCTTCCACAGGAACTGTCTCATACAGGAAATCACTAATAGCATACAGAGAATGCCATGTGGGAGATAGCAATAAATTATTCAGGTATGTAAAAACATGTTTTGTCTGTCTCAATTGAAGGCCTTCAAAATGATTCAGTGTGTTGCCATGCAGATTACTTTCTAGATAATGTATCAGGCGAGATTAGGGCTTTTTATGGTCTGCAGCTCTGTGCATGATCATAGGTTAAACGACATGAATTATGGTTTTAGTTTTATTGCATTCTGTATGCAGATGAAAAAATTTTGAACATTACAAATGCATATTTTACTTAATAACTGAAATCCAAATTACACAGGTTAACATGATGTTAATACTGGCACATGTATAATGGCATATTGTTGTCAAAAAAGAAAGGCTATCATAATGAATAATAGATTAAACTCAATTTTGTAGTCAAAATGTTTATGAATTCTTTGTGGGCCTGTATATTTCTTTTTGATTTTGTCCAGAAGGTCTCCTTAATTTAAAAAAAAATGAAGTTTTGACGAGAAAGACCATGTGAGAGTCTTCTGAGTAAATTAGGAGGCAAAAATTAGGTCTCCTAAATTGGGTCTTAAATTGAAAATGTGGTTGTCCACTTTCACAAGTTCACTCAAGACTTGGGAAGATTTATGCTTTTTTGGCTTGCAAAATTGGGCACGTATCAATAAAGTATCCAAAATATGCCTAGCTCTTCTGTCTGCTAAAAAGTTGACATCCAGGGTATAAATGATGATGTGTTCAGTGCTGCTTGGTTGTCTTAAAGCAAATCAAATATCTGATCAGCCATGCCCTGATGAGCAGTGACATTTGCTTGTAAGTGGTAATCATTCTTAATCACAACTGGGCATGAATTTTCCTGATGCTTATAAAGTAAAACAGGCTATCTCCGCGGGGTAATCTCTTGGTTACTATGATAACTTCATCGACATTTTTTGCTGTGCGTAATTGGAGTACAGCTTTCGTCTGCAGAGGTATGGGTGTTCCAATTCCATTAAGACTCTGAACTTTGAACGTGATAAGGGTAGAAAGATTATGATTAGGTTGGAAGCTTTCACAAGATTCCTTGATCCGCGTTGTGCACATGTAGTTAAGAATACATGGAAGCACTGAATAGTGTATACAAATTTAGGACTGTGAAGTTTAAAAGTTACTTTTTGATAGAACCAAGTCATTTTGAATAATTTCCATACATATTCGGATGTGCTTGCCTAACGAGATCGCCATAGGTGAGTGTTCAGGTCCATAGCAACCAGCACTCTAATCTACACTGATCAACACTCATTGGTTATGCATTGTGTCACATAGATATGACCTCCCTTTCAATTGAATAGTCACCATACCAGATTCCCTCTTAAGTAGAATATAGAGGTGAACTTACATGTAGTGAATGCATTGGAGAGAGTGGTGAAACACAATAGATTTTTTTTTTTAAGGTGTAAATAGGAAAGCAAATAGAAATAAGAAACAGAGAAAAGCAGCTTAGGCATGGAAAATGTTGAGAAGCATTGTTCTGGAGACAGAAGTCAACATCTTGGTTTTTTTTTGAGTTGTCGGTGTAAATGTCGGAGTTGGGCTATAAGCATAAGTTCATTTGGTGTTAACATAAATCATTTTTTTGGCCTCACTTTTGGGCCTGTCCATCATCAGCTGCCTTCAAGTGTCTCCTTAGGCCTCAAAATAAGGTCATAAAATGCTGATCTGTCTCTGCAAGAAAGTGAATATTGCAGTGCAGTTTCCTCCAAACATTCAATTCCCAAATGAACTGTTCATATATTTGATGTTTGATGGAATGTTCCAGTGTGCAAAAGAGCGCTACTCTTTGAAGTAAACTCTTGGCACCGCACTGCTTTGTAACTTTTACTTCGAGCATGTATGACTGTCATGATATGGGATGTTTTTAACTCCCTCAAGGGTGTATGGCAGCCCCTGTGCCATTTATCACACAGTGTGAAAAAAGTACCATGTCCCAACCCACAGCAGGCGACGATTATCCATATAGTGGGTATAATACGAGATCCTGGCATTTGTTTACCATCGTCTTGATCTGAGACTAACATGTACATGTAGCTTGGAAAAGTTTAAGATTAACCTCAAGAGTTTGACAAGGATGGCGGGAGATGTAGCAGAAGCCCAGCTAAGACCATACCAGCGTGGGATCACATGCTGTCCAGTTTTCAATATTCCATATATTTCAAAACAAAATCCCTCTTTTGATCTGACAGGTCCAGGACTGGCCTTCATTGCCTACCCAGAAGCTGTGGTCCAAATGCCCGTTGCCCCTCTCTGGGCCGTCCTCTTCTTCTTCATGCTTCTCCTACTTGGCATTGATAGTGAGGTGAGTGGAGCTTTGTGTCGCTCATACTTTTTAACAAAAGAGAAAGAGGTGTGCGCATTTCTTGTTACCTACTGCAGGATTTTTGTTCTTAGCTCGCATCTATTTCAGTGGAGTACAAGGACGAATTGAGCCAGCACCCCGTGTGATGCATTGTGTAAGTCACGTACTCATGAGCGGTAAGTGGAAACATTTTGCCTGTTGTCAAGGAGGTATCTTTTGGCAAGTTACAATGGCAAACAATGCAGGCAACACTGTTTAGAGTATGTTTACAATGTTTAGCAACAGTTAGCTTTCATGACGAATGGTGTCTGGGTGAACATTATGCTCACGTTCACTGACACACATGTATCCTTGTTGGGACTTTCCTTTGTTCTTGTGAAGCACAAAATTAGTGTGTTCCTATCACTTCCATATGGTCCCGAAATCATTGTCTGGGCTGAAATTTCAACCGATCGTCCCATGTATAAAACACTTCAATATGCAACAGAGCAACAGAGTGTACACTTTGTAAATTGCTTTTTTTTTTTTAGAGTAAATTCCAAATATCAGTTTTGTGGAATTCTTGTGGGGTACCGTTTAACATACCCCACAAGGACAATGAATGTTCCTTGTGGGGTACATGCTATTATTCTGGTACCCCACAGGGCTTCATAATGACAAGAGCTGATGGATAGCTCTGTGAATGAAGTACATGTATTCCATTTATGAAGGATGCGGTTGCTTGAGTAAGTTAAAAAGACTTGTAATAAAGCAGAACTACATGTACGTTGACTACCAGGTTTTAATGTAACCATAACAATTTCATGTGTACAAAAGATAACACAGAGGCTCCTGTTGCTATTCACTGGGGTTGGGGGGGAGTTGCAGGTTCATTCAAACGCAACACATGTAATTACTTGAACTGTTTAATATACTGTACATTGTATCTTATGGACAACACATTCTGTAAATAGACCAGGAGGTTTTTACCCACGTCCCAGATTTCTGTGAGGCTCGCCGGGGGAGCAAAAATTATCAGAGTGTGATGAACGTCTCCGGCTTTTGTGCTAAGAGTATTCAGAAGCTGTCCTGTGCACAGACACTTGCAGTGTTTTGCCTGTGTTAGTAGGACCTCCTCAAATATGGCGGGAAGACCTGGAATATCAACAATGGAATAGACCAATGTGGTGTCAACGCTCATGTTTCAAATTGTGTGTTCTAGCTTGGTGTACTGCCTTTGATATTATACCCTGGTATGGAATACATCAATGCAGATGCATTGAAATAGCTCTCACTGAAAACTGCGCTTAGTGTTAAACCATCTTTAGATTTGTAGTTTTGTACCCAAACGAACATGGATGCATCCGTTAGATTCCACTCTGCACAGCAAGTCAGCACCCTTAGTTAGCAATTTAATGCAACCGTATGTAAAAGCACTATCCTTTTTTCACACGGTGACAGCAGTGGTGCATTTAATCATCTTGGTTGAGCTTGTTGGTCTTACAGAAGAATCTGTGTATTTGGAAAGCACTACTGGGGAATCTCCTGCCTAGTAATAACATGGTTTATGTTCATGATTTGAGCATCTTGACTTCAATTTGCACTCATTTAATAAATTCTTTAAGGCTTGTAATGATGATTTGGGCATCTTGGCTTCAATTTGCACTCATTTAATAAAGTCTTTGAGCAAACATGCTTGATGACAAATATCCCCCTTTTTTAATGTCAAGGTTTTGTAGCTGTTGTGCGTTCTGACTCACTGTGCGACTTGATCTGTCTTCTGTCAAGTATTTGTTGGTTAATGGGGATTTCAGGAGATTTAGAATCTCATCTGGCATCTGCGCGTGTTGAAAAACTGAAATTAAACCCCTCAAGTTTACCTTCAAGCTATACATGGGCTTCCACATACAACCCGCCGATCTTGCTTTTCGTGATATGATTCATTTACCATATTCATCCAACATGTCAAGGCTCTTTTTGTGCGGACTCCTTTTACTTAAAGAGCACCTGTAACAAAGTTGACGTTTTTGTGTTTAATTCATTTTATGACAAATTATATACTAGCCTTAATGCCAGAACAAAATTTTTATGGCACAAGATTTCTTTTAGTGTAATAAAATAAAGTTGAATTGTACGTTCAACACGATTCAGCTCCATCTTTTGCGCAAACCATGTTCGTATTTAATGTGTACAAATGATATTCCTCTGACCCTTAAACGTCATTGTGTTACTTGGTACTAGCACAGTCGTGTGGGTGTGCGTGCACGTGTGTAAGTATTCTTACATGTACATGTAGCTATTTTCCCGACATTATTCGTGTTTTGGTGATGCATAACTGCCATGTGGATACTCCCTCACTAAACAAGCACGGGGTCTACTTGCAAAGTAAATGAGAAACTGTCGTATCGAAAAAATATCTTAATCCTCACTGCAGATTATCAAGTCATGGATACCAGACTAAGTTCTTTTCCTGCTGTTCCCTCCCCTGTGTGATAAAATTGTGTTAGGTCCTGCGTGTATGCGTGAGCTCATGCTTGTACGTATTTGGGTTTCCCCTCCTTTCTTTTCTCCCCTCAGTGGTGTTGTATGAATAAACGGCTGACGTTTTAAGTTTTTCAGAATTCGTGTCTTGGCGCGCACAGGAAAGATCCCTTGAAAAAGTATTTTGAGTTGGTTGTAAAGACGAACGTGTATTGCCCTCAGTTTGGACACTTCCATAATTATTCAAACAGGTAAAATTCAGAGAGAACACTTTATTTGGAGGTGCTCTTTAACATTGGAAAATAGAAGAGTACAAAACCGAGTAAGAAAATGTCTGACTCGGACAGAAGTACAGAAGGGTAGAGCAACTTAATAGGAAGGAATCTCTACTTCTATATCCAACAATACATTCCACTGGCTTCATATTTATTCCTAAAAGCCAGCTTGGTAGGCGTTGTTTTGGAAGGAGCTTTCTTTGACCTCCCCCATACATTCCTCTGTTATGCTGTAAACCCCTGGCTTGCTCCTTTGTCCTTGAAACTGCCCAAGTGAACCTGGAAAAACTCCACACCTCCTCCCCTTTCCACAGTAGTGCTAGTTTCATAGGGTTTTGACTTTTCATATTTGTCTGCAAATGCACAGTGACGGGCGGATGTGCTAAAACAATTGGAGACAATTCCAATCACTGTTTGAGTAGGTACTCATGAACTTTGTAAAATGAAATGGAACGGAAGGAAATGCAGTGGTTTCTGAGGGATTAACACTGACGATTGTGTCCTGGTCTGAGGTTTCTTATCCTGTCTTCCCTGTCACTGTGGAGGTAAGTGTACTCAACAGCTACCCATCTAGCTGAGCTCTCCGACTCGAAAACTGAAGCGTAACTGACTGAGAAATGTCTCTTGACCTATCCATTTTCTCTTTTTTTTTTTTTGTCTGCTTCAGTGCATCTTTTGCACGTAGCCTCCAATTTTCTGTTCCTTTCATTTAATTCCTGCTGCAGGTTCCTCATCAGCCTGTCTTTGGCACGTATCCTTCTTGATCAGAAAAGGCATCATAGATCATGTAAAAAAAAAAGTAAAATCCCCTCCCCACTCCCTCGATTCAGTTAATCAGGCTGGAGATGTAGTTGGGCGGAAAACATCCCACTGAAAAGACAAAAGTCACAAACTAGAGTCTGTAAGAGTGTCCGTTTTTGCTGTGCATGTACATGTAGCAGAGTGGAGGCTAGAGATACTAAAACAGGTTACCTGGCTGATTGGAAAGTATTATCTTATGTGTATCTGTTATTCAGAGTTGCTTGCCATAAGGCAAATTTGCTACCCCTTCTGAAACCAGGATTTATTATTCATTTTTGCTGTATGGAAGGTCTGAAACCAGGATTTATTGTTCCTTTTTGCCGTATGGAAGGTAATATTGATTATCTGCGGAACCACTTACAGCATCTGCCAAAATTACTCCTGTAAACTGTAGCCCAGATGACCGCCCCTATGGTTCGTCGCATGTTCCACTCGCCATTGCGGAGAGTGGAACGCATGAGAGACCCTGTAGTTCTAGGGGTAACATGACCCCATGGATTTATGATTTGCACTAACTGGGGCATCAGGCGATGAGCAGCACCTTGGCTGTCAAACGGTTGAGATCATCTCTAGTGGCTTAAACTGGGGTTTTCCCTCAACACATGCAGCTTGTTAATGTGTGGGTAGGCCTTCTCCACATTAAGGGTAGGCCTACAATTTCTTTTGTCAGGAAAGTCAGAGCCCCGTCCTTCATTCACTTGCCGCTAATCTTACCAGTCAAAGTTACACAACTTATATACCCAGTTGATATCATAGGAATAGTCTGATCTTGGCTGCATAGTGTATTGGGTTTAATGGCCTCTGGCTAGTGCCCCCCCCAACAAAGATATTGGCAAATGGGAAGAGCCACCTAACTAGGGCTGGACAGCTCAGTTGCTAGAGCACTTGTATAGTATTCTGGAGGCTGCAGGTTCAAATCCCGCTCCAGTCATTTTCCCTGTTCATCTTTAAAAAATCATTTACATGCACAGATAGAAAGCCATTGTGTACATTTAAAAGAGAATGGATAAGTAAACATGATTTTTCAAACATTTATGCAGTACATGCCAAAATTCAGTAGAAGCTGGCGAATAGTGGGATCTGTTTTCTTATTGCTTTCTCTTTATGGAACAAGCCGAGCCGAAACAGGAATTTTTCCACTTTTCTACAGTCTTAATTTACATGTGTAATTACAGGTCTGTTTGTTTGTTTTGTTTTTGGTTTTTTTCTGTTTTGATGGAGTGGCTAGTGTCCAAGGCATGTACATGTGTCCAAGCATGTCAGCAGTAGCAGAGATTTTACACTGTCCAAATCCAAATTCTTGCATTACAGCTTCTTGCTAAATTTCAGACGGCAATTTACATCCCGGGTTAGCAAAGCTTTCTTTCATTTTGTGCACTCTCTTCTGCAGTGGAAAATTCCGTGATGTCATTTTGTTGTCTTCACTTGGATGAAAATAAATAGCCCTACTTCTGCAGGGCCTAT